CCTGAAATGTTGAAGAGTTACGTATAACTTCACTCACTGACATGCTGCAGTTGGATCCACCTTCTGCAGCAGCCATTTTATGACTGACTCCGCCTCCTGTGGCAGCCATGTTGTGGTTGCACCCACCAACCTGTGGTGGTCCAAAGGTGACCGTAGGTTCAAAAAGGTTGACCACCCCCTGATTTAGGATATTTCTATGCTGCCTCTTCAGAAAACTGCTCGAGGAGGCTTACAAATAAAACAGTCTTGCGATATAAAAACAAGTCATTGGACATAATGGCACAAAAACTATCCCTAAAAGCAGAAGCTGCGTATCAAAAAGCTGTGAAGATAAAATCTCTAATTAAAAGCCTGGGTTTAAAAAATATGTGTTTTGATCTGGCACCTAAAACAAAGGCAAGCCTCAAGGGGAAGGGCGCTCCAGAGACGAGGAGCCACCACAGAAAATGCCACGTCTCTAGTTGCCACGTGCCTCACCCGTTAAGACAGGGTCCCAGAGAGGAGGCTTGAGAGGCAAATTTTAACTGGTGGGCTGGATAGTGTGGGAGGAGACAGTCCTTCAGGTACCATTCTTTTGATCAAAGAGTTTAAGGCAGTCACAATTTGAAAACAAAATGCAATGATCTGGGGGGGGAATAAAGCACCAACATTAAACAATCAAAAACAGAAGACCATCTGTCAGAAAAGGCCGATACGCACACAAAGTGAGCTGTCTCAGAAAGTTCTAAGTGGGTGAATCATATGGACTGGGATCTCCCCTTCCACAGGAAACTCCCTCACCTGAAAACAGCCACTACCAAAAACACTCATGCCCTGAACATGCTCCAAAGAAATGCCTTTAGAGGTCCACACCAGCACCGGGAATCCCTAACTGGTAACATCAAGTGGTGCTATACCTTCAACACGGCTAGCTCCAGGCGATGACTGAACTGCTGTATTCCAGATCAGCTATTCAGAAGCTTAGGAGATTCACCGATTTATTTAAATACGATCAGTTTAACGACTCTGTTAAAGGGCAGATATTTAATCAGCTCAAAGTTCTGCCGGCGGTTATTTTGCAAGAAGCTAGCTGCCCTCAAACCCAGCATCCAACAGGAAGGGGAAGGCCTCTGCGAAACCCTGTTTTCCTCCCATGACTAGGCAGTGGGGCTCGATCTGTTCCAGACTCACCCAGAGAGACTGGACCCCCATCTCTAGGGCTGCCGATGGGCCAACGGAACTTGAGAATGGGGGATGGAGGTCACTTCCCCACAAGGCTGCGTCTGCTCCTGGGAGCCTGAGGTTAAGTTAACACTCACAGGAACCTAATTTTAAAAAGCCAACCAAACCAAGGCACACACAGCAGAACCTGGAGTTATTTTTACCACCAGCCAACAGAACTTGGACCGCTCGGAGTGCTTATATGTGAGCAATGTGGTTAAGCCCACTTTCCGAAGGCGTCTGTGGGCTCCTGGGCCTCTGCATGAAAAGGCTGCAAATGCAATACTGTGTGGAGCCGGCACACTCGGCTCTGCACAAATGACCGCTGGGGAAAGGACCTTGCCACCTCCGGCAGGGAGGCCTCATCAGATGCAGCCAGGAGTCTTTCCATATGAAGAAGCAGGTTGAGAAAGAAGTACTTTTCTCCCTTTCTCACAATACAAGAACTCGTGGGGCACGCCATGAAATTGCTGAGCAGTCGGGTTAGAACGGATAAAAGGAAGTCCTTCTTCACCCAGAGAGTGATTAACACATGGAATTCACTGCCACTGGAGGTGGTGGCGGCTACAAGCATGGACGGCTTCAAGAGGGAATTAGATAAGCATATGGAACAGAGGTGCATCAGTGGCTATTAGCCACAAGGTATAGGTAGGAACTCTCAGGCTGGGGCAAGTGATGCTCTGTATTCTTGGTGCTTGCGGGGGGGGGGGCAACAGTGGGAGGGCTGCTAGTGTTCTGGCCCCACTGCTGGACCTCCTGATGGCACCTGGTATTTTTGGCCACTGTGTGACAGAGTGTTGGACTAGATGGGCCATTGACCTGATCCAACATTGGCATCTCTTATGTTCTTATGAGTCACACTGTTAAAATTGGCAGTGGTATGGGAAGGTCACCCCCTCCCCACAGGTAAGAACAGGCTCTCCTAACCTTGGCATTCAAAACTTGCCTTGTTGGTCCTGCTAGCTCAGTTTACCAAAGTCTGGGGAGATGCAAACGGGGGCAACAAGCTGAGGTTCTTGCTGTATAACAGAAAGCCACACAGACATCGGTTTCAACAGGAATGCTTCCTTCACGGAGGGGAATGCACCGCTACACCTCCACGATTGCCACCATCAAGGCCTCAGGGTGTTTATCCTCCAACCTATCAGTATCAGAGCTCACCTAGGCATAGCCCAGAACCTGTTTCCAGGGCCACACATGAAGCCAGCCCCAACCTCAACATCTTGCCCCAGTCTCAGGCACGCAATGGCCTTGGCCAAACACAGCACCCAGCGTCCTGTCAACTGGAATGGTGGGCACGTGAAGCACATGGTCTGCTGCTGAGATGCAGTCTGCTCTAGCAGCTCTGATCTGGAATGCGTGAAAATGAGAATACCCCGAGCGTGCACAAAATCACGTCCCCAAGTAATCACGTTCAGCTCTCGAGGGAATGACCTGTAAGCAAACCCCAGAGGGCAAAGATCAACACGTGCAGAAGCTGGAGGCCGCCATACGGCACACAGTGTCATCACAACCAAACGCTGCCTCCGCGGCAAGGATGAGAAATGTTCCTTGGCTGCTCAGGTGGGAAGGCACAGAAGACCGGGACGTAGGACTGAGAACGCTGCCTGTGCATGAGGGGAGGGATCTGTAAGGAGCAGGGAAGTAATCCTGTCGGTGGCCTATGAACATCCTCCAGTGATTTACAGGAAGTATAATCCAATCATACAGTAAAACAGAACAGTATGTCTGAGATGGGTTTGATTCCAGGAATTATAAAACAAATTATTTAAAAGAGGGGGGGGGGTGGAGGAAAAGAAAGAGAAAGCCCCATGGAATACAGATTGGAGTAAATTGGGCACAGGTGGGTGGGGGAAGGGCTTTCTCCCCCCCCCCTCTAAGCCACCCTGCCACAAGGCACGGCTTCAATTAGCTCACTTGCAAAACAGAACTTGATTCCCCCCAAATTATGGAATATATATTATATATATAAATAAAACATTCTTCGTGTGTTTGCAGTCGGGATAAAGGGAGCCACCAACCTCCCTCCTAGGCAGATCTTTGAATGGCTCCCAGGCAGTCTGGTGAGGCCACCTGGAGATGGGTTCCACACCTCCCACAGCTACGTGGGGAGAAGAAAAAGAGCCCACAGATGCTTCCACTCTAAGCAATTGCCCAAGGAATGTATCTCTTGGTTCTGAGAGACCACGGGACTTGTGGGGGTAGGCGGGCAGGCACACACCCTTTCCCAACAGAATTTGTGGGTGCGGGGCACCAAGGATCAAACTGTGCGGAAATATGCAGGATTCATCAATTTACAAGACCCCTGGGTGCACAGATTACTGGTGGCAGGGTAAGTGACCCACACATTTAAACTGCTCTGCTGCACAAGCGACACTGAAATTAACAAGAGCTGCTGGAGAGTCCAACAGACTTTCTCGGTGAAGCTTGTGCAGAATTGCCGGGTGGACCAGGCTCCACGTTTAATCTACTAATTCTTTCAACCTCTATTGGCACAGAAGATGTTGGTAAATCTGCTAATTCAATATGGAGGGTGGCAGAAGAGGTGCCATTTGGATTAACCCCCTCAGAGCCACAGAAGGGGTGCCATTTGGGTTAACCCTCGGAACCACATCAAATGCTGTTGGGGGTGGGTCTACCGCACCTGCCTGGGATTTACACGGATCTTTCCCGTGCAGGAAAAGAAAAGCACCGAGGTAATCCAGTGATACCCGAGACGCAGGGCTTTTTTTGTAGAAAAAGCCCAGCAGGAACTCATTAGCATCATAGGCCACACCCAACAGCAGAAACTCATTGGCATATTAGGCCACACCCCTGGTGCAGCTCATTAGCATATTAGGCCACACACCCCATGCCTTCCCTTGGCTTGCCCAGGCAAGCTCCCCCATGAAGGGAAGGGAAGGCAGTTTAAACAGGCCGGGGAAGGCATTTAAATGCCTCCCAAATCCTTCCAGGAGGCCCCTGGCCCGCCCCATCGGAATCGCCGAGGGGGTCACTCTCCAGGCCTTCCCTCTGTAGCCACACATGCAGACCTTTTGGTTGTAGTGGGCATGGCCTACTCTGAAGCCAGCCGGAACTCCGTTCCTGTGCGTTCCTGCCCCAAAATAGCCCTGCCCGAGAGACAGTAAGCGGGGCTCTTGTTAACCCCCCACTCCCAACTTTGCCTCTTCCTAGGCTCCACCACCTGCACAATATTCACAGGACTTCTTGGGTATGAGCCGCCTGGTAGCCCTGACCAGCCCAATCCTGTCAGAGCTGGGAAGCTAAGCAGGGTCTGGCATGGCTGGTACTCTGATGGGGAGCCAACTGTGGTGCCAGGTTAGAGTCTGCACTGCTCTACAGGGAGCCAGCTGGGTGATCTTGGGTCAGTCACAGCTCTCAGCGATCTCTCAGCCCCCCCAACGAAAGTCCAGCTCGCCACAAAAGAGTTAGAACTTAAAGCTGCCAGACAACCTTTGGATCTCCTGGTTATACCACACACAATGCCATGCGATTATTATTATTAATTAATTAGTACTCCGAGGGAGGACCAAAAAAGGAAGTCCAGGGTTGCTACACAGAGGCAGGCAACTTCTCCTCATCTCTTGCCCTTCAAAACCCACGGCCATGGGGCCACCATGAGACCGTTGCACGTTGACGGCACAATTCCGGAGTGTAAGAACCACCTCCAGCAAGATCCGAAGGTGAAGGCTGACCCAGCCAGAAGATACAGGGGCCCAGGTGTGCTTGCCCTTTCAAACCTGCCCTTCTCCCCACAAAAGCACAGCAGCCCTGTCCCTCCCCACCGGGCCCTGTCGTACCTTTGGGCTGTGCATTGTACACAGCAAACATGTTGATTGCCACGAGCTGGAGCATGCGGGTGCTTCCAATGGGTGGGGGGCTGTGCTCCAGCAGGGCCTGGAACTCGCTCAGAACCTCCGCGGCCACCGTGGGGAACGTCTCCATTCTGCAGGGGCCAAGAGAAGAGCGACATGGATATCGAAGCCACAATCCATGGCTGGCAAGTCGCCCTTATTTAGCCCCTAAGGAGATTTTAAACATCGGGCACCGCGATTGCTGCTTCTGGTCGACACCTCCGCCCTCCCCCCACAACCCAGTTTTACAGCTTGTGGGTCTGGCAGCCCCATGGCTCACAGCGACTGAAAAATGACGCCGGTTGTTCTCAGCCCATTCTGCCTGCTCAGGGTCTTCCACTTCGTTCCCCCTGCATGGTCTGCTCCATTTCGCTGGGTTCTGGCAGTGCAGATACAATGCGGGAGAGAACCTAACCTCCCTACATTTCGTAGAGGAAAGGCCAGATCTAAATGTAAGTCTCTGTGTGAAGATTTCTCAATGAGAACCACCAAAGAGAGACTTTTGGAAAAGCCCCTGAGCCAGGCCCTAAGGCAGGTGATGAAGGACATCTCCTGACTCTGAGGAATCGATTCTCAGCTCCTCCACACCCCCACCTGACCCTTTTCCTTTTTCAGACAAGGAACTGTGCTGAGCATCGACTGCCATTCCTGTCCAGGGGACACGAGACTGTGCCAGGCAGCCACGAGTTACAGGCCTTCTGTGCTCAGTGTCTGCTCCAGAAAGAGCAAGGTGCGCGAGGATGGAAAGCAGTGGCAGAAGCTGCCCAAAACATCAGGGGAGAGGGCTCTGCAAGCTTGAGACAAGGCAGCATTTTCTCAGCTTCGCACCCTCATTTGGAAGATAAGCAGTGTGACCTTCCATCATACAGGGTTGTACAGTGTGCGTGTGTGTGTGAGAAGCACTCTGAAAAGTGCAAAGGGAATACTAAGTGCTTTTATTATAGAAGCAGCCTCCAGGAAGAGACGGAGCAAGACGTTCCATGTTCGCTGCGGGGAGCCACTGCATGTGCGCCTATCACTGGCCACGGTGCTGAGTGGGCCTGTGGCCATTCTCAGTCCAGCTCAAACAAAAACAAAACCGAGTCCAGAGCAGAAGTGTCAATTGCCAAGAAGGGCAGCCCTCGGCAAACAGATGCCTGGTTGGTTCCTAGATGCCAACAGACGGGGGCTGCTCTCTGCCAGGGGGCTCTCCAGGAACGGCAACGCCAATCATTCTGCAGTCACGGGAAGCAGAAGACGGCTAACACAAAACTGCCAGACACTGAGAGCCCAACTCGCAAAGATAATTCACTGTCTGCCTTTGTAAGAAAAATTCCTGGAGGAGAGGCTTATTGATGAGTAGCAGCCATGATAACTAAATGGAACCTCCCAGTACAGAGACAGTCTCGCTTTAAATACTGTGAGAACAAACAACAGAGAGAGGCTTTGACCTTCCGGCCCTTCTCTGCGGGCTTCCCAGAGGCATCCGACAGGATTAGATGGACCTTGGCCCGACCCAGTAGGGCATGAGATCACAGGGCAGGGGCTGAGCTCTAATGTCATGACTGCTGCCCCCTGACCTCGCCCACGTCCCGAAAAACTGACAGGCCCACCCCTCCTTGCCCTCAAGTGAAGGCTGAAGGGGCCAGGCCTGCCGGCTTCACGCCCTGTGCCCTCAGCTCCAAACACAAGCCCAGTTGCTAACAATATTGAATTCCAAAAGGCCTCGTAATGTAGGAAAATAAAACAAACATCCTGCAGCCTTACCCAATCCTGGTAAACAGCTTCCCATGGGCATGTAGAAAACTCAGGACAAGCCTTTTGTTCAGCTGCGGGGGGAGGGGGGGGGGGGGGGGGGGGGAGAGATGGCGAAGAAGATGAGAAAACAATTCAAGCTCACTCTCTTTCTCCCCTTTCCTGTGAACGAGCTCACTGGTCCCGGGTGACAGGATAACCTGGCCGGGATGTGGGGGTGGGTAGGCAGATGGGAACCAAATGGCTGTGCCCTGGCCCTCTCTCGCGAGTGCCAAACAGCTGGGCTGGAGAGCCACGCCAAGTGTGCGGCACCCTCTGCTGGCGGACAGCTACCTCTGCAATGGAAGCGTGCAAGGGGCGAAGGGGCGGGGAGAACTTCCTCTTCCAAAACTCTGCCAGGGGTCTCAAAGTCACTGGACACCCCTGCCCGGCTGTAACCTGGCTCTTCTTGCAAGCAAAGGCCCCACGAAAGAACCAGCCCTGCAAGGAGACAGAGTGACCGAAGCCCGGCCCGGTGTGTGAGGAAGTTCGTTTCAAAGCTGACTTGGGGAGATTAAAGTAACACGGCCTGGACTGCAAGCATAGGAGAGTATACATGCTGCCCCATAGAGCAAGGATGCCAGCACCCCCCCAACACTGCTCCATGCCCCCCCACACAGAGGAAAGCAACAGACTAAGGCGCCTCCATGGCCCACGGCCAAGCTAGCCCTAGAGAAAGAGCCCTCCAGCTCTTGAGTCACAGCACAGCCGCCCCCATCGAAACATTTCCCAGCATCTTCCACCATTTGTTCAAGCTGGGTTTGCTTCCACTCCCACCTCTGGCAGTGTCTCCAGAGGGGCAGCACAGTGTAGTGGTTAGACTCCAGGGCTCAAAGTCTGGCTTGCATGAAACTCACTGGGTGATCTCGGGCCAACCTCACACATGTTCAAGCCTAAAACACCTCGCAGGCTTGTTGTGAACATCAAGATGGCACATGCACGCGCTGATGTGTAACTGTCTCTGCTGCCTGGAACTCCTTGGGAGTGTTACATACAAACATCCTCTATGTGAGAGAGCTCAGGCATCAAGACCCCTAGGTAAGGTCAGCTTGGTGTAGTGGTTAAGAGTGCGGACTCTAGTCTGGGAGAGCCGGGTTTGATTCCACTCCTCCACATGCAGCTGCCGGTGTGACCTTGGGCCAGTCACAAGTTCTTTCAGAGCTGTTCCCTCAAGGACAGTCCTCAAGAGAGCTCTCTCAGATCCACCTACTTCACAGGGTGTCCGTTGTGGGGAGAGGAGGGGAAGGGAAAGGAAATTGTGAGACAGTCAGCAAGTGAACATGCACGAAGCTGCCTTTGACTGAGTCAGACAACTGGTCAACCCAGGTCACTCTGACTGGTGGCTTCTCTCCGGGGTTCTCGGGTGAAGGTCTTTCACATCAACAACGCACTGATCCTTTCCCCTGGAAATGCCCGGGATTGAACCAGGGACCTTCTGTATGCTAAAGAGATGCTCAGAACATCTGAGCCCAGTGCTGGAAGTGTGCGCTCTCCCTCTCTCTTCCTGGGAATCTGCATTACTACAACCAAGCAAAGAAATGGCAGGCACGGAGAGAGGCCTGAAAACCAACACTGGGGATGGAGCACTGGATTGAGATTAGGGAGCTGAAACTGGGTGGGGGACCTTGAGCCAGGTGCATCCTACGTAAGACGGCCTCATTTATGCTGCCAGGGGCTCCTGGGAGGGAGGGCGGGATTACAACACGGTGCCAAAGAAAGAAAACGATGACTTGTCTCCCTCTCTGCAGACAGAAGGCTGAAATGTGGACAGCATGACTCCAAGGAAAGGGAGGGGAAGGCCAGGGAGGGGGTGGTAGTCGCCTAATTCCGAAACAAATACAGGGTTGCCTTGCCCTAACTCTGGCCCCTGCCACACAAGGAGATTCCCACCCCAGGGCTGGATAAGAACCTGCAACCCCAACCCCCAAACTTTGCATCTGATGAGCACAGCCAGCCAGCATGGAGTAGTGGTTAAAAGTCTTGGACTAGTATCGGAGAGATCTGGGTTTGAATCCCCACTAGTGCCCCATGGAAGCTCGCTGGGTGACCTTGGACCAGTCATACTCTCTCTGCCTGACCCACCTCGCAGCGTTGTTGTGAGGGTAAAATGGAGAACGGTGTAAGCTGCTTTGGGTCCCCAATAAGGAGAAAGGCGGGGTACAAATGAATTAAATCAACAAGACTGAAATGAACTGACAGCTTCTGATATAAGAAACACCCCAAGGCCTGCTCCCTGTGGCTTACTTTTGGCAGGTGCTGCTGATCTCCCCCAGGATTCGCTGTGGGGCTGGCAACAGCACAGAACCTAAGAGGTGGGGCAGAGCTCAGCACTTCTCAGCCCTCCCTCCCCCCAGAAACCCAGAAGGGCAAAGGGCACGAGGAGGGCAGAGACGGCATGCCCCAGCCAGTGGCGATAAACCCGACACCGACCAGCCCAGCCTGACATTACGCTCTGACCCCAATGAACTCAGCACTGGGGACAGAAAGGGGTCAAACCTGGGCCAGCAGCTGCTTTCCAAATGACTCCTCTCCTTGTGTGACTCACCTGCCCACGGGGCCCCTGGGAACCTCCAGCTTCTCACAGGCAGAGGGAAACAGAGACCTGGCCCTGGGAGAGGAAGCAGCATCACCTGCTCTTTGTGGCAGCCGTGGGGAAGAGAAACACTTCCCCAAAGCCGTGGTGGCAAGCTGCACCTCTCCTGCCCACAAGCCGCAGAGGAAAAGCCCCCCCCTCCCCCGCTTCCTGCTGCCCTGACGTCTCCTCTGCAAGACGGCTTTTCCAGTTGCCCTCTCACGCAGGCCCTTGCCGTGACCCCGGGAGGGAGCTGGCAGAACAAGCGCCAAGCGGAGGCAGGAGCCGAACTGAGGCTGCCCTGCTCTGCAGCAGGATGGGGCTCTGGATACTGCTGTGCCTGAAACCCAGCAGAGATGCCCCCGGTGCAAGTGCCCAAGGAGAAGTTGGTTGGAAGGGGCGCGGGGGGGGGGGAGGGGGAAGAAAGCTGCACAGAGGCCTCATCTGTTGCAGGCCTGCCAGCAGCAGACAACGCCGGACGCCGGCTTTCCACCCTCGCTTTGGGAGCGGCAAACATCTGGCGGGAGCAGCAGATCTGGGCACAAGCTGGCCCAGCTGGTTCTTGGCAAGCCATCCGTCTCTTCAGTCACCTCCATTCTGCCCCAGGCACCAAAGAGCTGCTGCTGCTGCTGGTGGTGGTGGCAGGGGGCAGGGGAGTCCTGCAAAAGGCATTTCGAGACACCTCTTCTCCCCATCCAGGGCCTCTGGCAGGGAGGTGGCTGGAGCCAGAGCAGAGCCCTGGGTACAGGCTCAAGCCCATCTGGCCATAGCCCAGGAGCCGTGCAAGACACCTGGACATTGGTTCCCAGATGGGAACGGGGGACCAAATAAGGGAAGAATTCCAACACAGCTGCTGGGGAAAGGAGGGGAGGGGAGGGGAGGGCAGAGAAAGGCTGTTTCAAGTTAAAAATTGTGACTTCAGGTTTGGAAGTGAATTTCTGTATCTGTTCTTTATCAAGCAAGGCAAACTTTCTCCCTGTGCATCTGCATTGCAGAATGTGCCATCGGAAGGGGCTGAAAAAAGACGGGGGTCTTCATCCAGACACCAGATGTGGACAGAGGTGGCAATCGCCTGACGGGGAGTGGGGGAGCACCTGACGGGGTCCGAACCGACAGACCCAGCTGTCCCAGCAGCCGAGCAAGACCAGAAGGCCTCCAGTTCTTGGGAGTCATGTTTTGGTCCGTTCGCCGAACGACACGGAGCAAGCTAGGACTGAACACAGAACGCAACATGCTAAACATCTGAGTATTCTCTCCTCTTTCAGTCCTTTGGAAGTTTCTAGTCCTCACTACTTCTCATGAGCTGGGAAGTCTGAAACCTCGGAAGACAGAGAACGGCTGGGGCATGAGTGGGAGGCGTCATCATTCTGTGGAACACTTTGCCCTCCCCCCCCCCAAGCTACCTAATGCAGAGAACCCAGAGAAGCAATCACTCACTTGGTTAACGCTACACATTCAGAGGGTACAGACACAGCTCTGACCCACACCAAGACCTCGACTTAAGCCTTTGCAGAAGGCACCAAGGGAAGCCCAGGACTGGACTGGGCAACTTATCACCCTCAACTGTGACAACAGAGCCCCTCCCCCGGCTTTGCAAGGAGGCCCCCCCCCATCCTCTTCCTTTCCATCTCAAATTACGGGTTTCCTTTGCATGTCTGGAAACTCTTGGTGGTAACTTCACCCTCCCCCTTGTGGGTGGTAACAAAAGGTCAAGTGGGCTAGGCGGAAGAGGAAGGCAGCAGGCAGGTTCTGCTAAAGTCTTGTGGATGGGCCTGAGCGCAAGACACTCGAGCTAGAGGGGTCCGTGTGCAAGCCTGACGCCCCAGGGGCAGCTTCTGCTCTCGAGTGCTGGGAACGGCAGCCACCCTGAGCCGAGTGCTGTGTGTCACGTCCCAAAGCCGGCAGAGCCGGGCATGTGGTTTTCGTGTCTAACCAGCCCAACTGCAGCCTGGCACCCGCGGCTTCCTCCCCAGAGAACTTCTCCCTCGTTTAGAGGAAAGAGACGAAACCTCACGAGCTTGAAATGGAACAGTTTGAGTCAAAATAAAGCCCTGAAGTGGTTTTGGTGACCGGGGTCAAGCAGCGTAGCGTGGGGTAGGAGAAAGAAGCAGTGCAAAGGTTGCCAGTCAAGATGCGAGCAACAGAACCCCAACCTGTGAACTCTTTCTGAAACAGAAAGGGGGGGGGGACAACACCAGCGTGCAACTTTATTAAGCTCAGCCGCAGATCTTTGCGATACTCTCTGAGTGCAGCGCAGCAAGCCAGTGAGCAAAGTACGCAGTGACAGTGCTGGGGCTCCAAGCTTCTCTGCTGGCCTTTAACATCAGCAGGGTGAGCCAGATTGAGACGGAGCCCTGCATGAGGCCAGCTACCCGGCACTGACTTCCCACCCCCAGTCAACAGCTTTTAAGGGGACTCACCCCTCTGAACAACTACTTTCCTTCTGGAAGCCACCATAGGCCAATCACAGGTGGAATTGGGCAGACCCTGCCAAATGCCACACCCCAAACCAATCCCTGTACAATGCCATATATCTTCTGCGATGTCATGGGTCCGCCATTGAAAAAGAAGAAGAGTTGAATTTATACCCCGCACTTCACTTAGGAGTCTCAGAGCGGCTTACAATCTCCTTCCCTTCCCCTCCCCACAACAGACACCCTGAGAGAGCTCTTTCGAGAACTGCTCCTGAGAGAACAGCTCTGACAGAACTATGGCTTGCCCAAGGTCATCCAGCAGCTGCAAGTGGAGGAGTGGGGAATCAAACCCGGTTCTCCCAGATCAGAGTCCGACGCCACTCTTAACCACTTCACCTGACTGCAAGTGTCAGTCATGGGTCAGCACAGTCCTCTGATTCAGAGCAGGCAGCCCAAGATCCACATTGGCTCCTGCCAACTTTCCATCATTCTTGCCATGTACTTTCTTGGCTCGCAGAGCCCTAGTCCCAGTTGCCTGCATCCTTGAAAGTCTACACTGCATGTGTCCAGAGTCCGAAAGATAGCTCTTCCCTGGGCAGGAGATGCACACCTTCCCCCTGGGTGCCGTGCTTCACATTTAATTAGCGGCATCGCCCCTTCATCCCTCACTGGGAGCACAAGGCAGCGGGAGACATCTGATGCAGGGCGGCAAATGCAGCTGCCAGAAACACAACCGTCACAGCCCATGTGGGTCATTCTAACCATGCTGAAAACCTTCCTCCATCAGAAGTGGCAAACCTGCTCAGCTTGGGAGATAGAAGCTATCGGGGAGCCTGTTCTTGGCAGACTGAATCTGGGGCCTTGTACGTATGTGGCGGCCCTGCTGCTGGAAAACGGGCTGGCCAGAAAGCTAGCAGCAAGAACAGCCACAACGCTGCCGCTACCGTGCCTGTCCTGGGCACGGAGGGCTGTCTCCGCACGGCAGCCTGTCTTGCATAACAAGAGGAACAGCACCACACAGTGGCAGAAGGGAACACTGCCCAACCACCCCCTCAGGCTGCCCAGAGGCCCTGTGAATAAAATCTCCAGAGAGAAAGCCGCCTCCTGTCACCATGAGACTCACATCGCTGGGGCTCAGGCTCCCAAGCCCGTTGTCTTGCTCAGAGTCTCGGCCAGACTCGTGGCCCTGGGAGGAGCGAGTGTGGGAAGGATGGATCCACAGCTCCAGGCGGGTGGCATCGTCACCAACGGGCCGGAATGCGGCGTTCTTCCCCTTCCCCCTCCGGCTGGGGCTTGGTTTCTGTTCCACCTGCTCAGCCTACACCGAGGAGAGGAGAGACACAATCAGAGCAGGTGTCACCGAGGGAGAGGGCACTAACAGGGTCCCGGAAGGAGGTCGAGAAAGGTCCTTCTTCCCCTCACCTTCCGCTTGATCTCTTCAAAGAGGCTCATGAGGCTTTCCTTGGCAGTGAGGATGGGGTTGCTGGCAGCCAGGCTACGCATGTAGTAATACACGGCATCCAGCTTCCTCCTCTGCGGATAAAGAATCAGACAATTGTTACAAGAACTGGCAGAGTCTCACTCGGGACCCCTCCAGAGACGCCAGGCTCAGGGGACCTTGGGGCTCTCCACTCCAAAGAATCAACCACGCACACCCCTCCAGCACCAGTGGAGCAGAAGGGAATGGAGGGAAACCGGCAGGGAAAAGGGGGCTTTGATCTGGAAGGTTTTTTGACAAGCAACCTGCACATGCCGAGACGTCTCATTCAGAGCCACGCTTGTCACCCGACAGCAGGTCTAACCAATCACAACTTGACATATCTTTATAAATGCTATGGAGCTCAGGTAATTCAGGTTTCAACTGTGGCTATTAGCCACAAGGTATAGATAGGGACTCCGGGGCAAGTGATGCTCTATATTCTTGGTGCTTGGGGGTGGGGGTCAATAGTGTGGGGGCTCCTAGTGTCCTGGCCCCACTGCTGGACCTCCTGATATCACCTGGTATTTTTGGCCACTGTGTGACAGAGTGTTGGACTGGATGGACTGTTGGCCTGATCCAACATTGGCTTCTCTTATGTTCTTACGTATCTTACCGTGTAGACAGCCAGGAGAGCCAACTGATTGTAGGGGCGTCCATTCTTGGGAGCAACATGCTGTGCCTTCAGGTACCAGCTGGGGAAGAAAGAGACTGTAGAACTGACCAACTGGCCTTTGTCAAGACTAGGGACAGGAAATTGTGGCTTGCAGGAATTAACTCCAGTCAGTAGGCTGGTACTCTTTGGGTCCACCCTGTGATAGCGCCTACAGGATGCCATCGCTCCCTTTTACACCTGCAACTACTACCATGGGTACCTAGATGGCGCTATCGTCCTCTTGGCTTTCAACTCCCATCTCAAAAACTGCCTTTTCCTTCACCCATCGGTTTAATCAATTACATTTACAGCATCCCAACTTTCTTCCACAACAGAACTCAAGGCAGCATGCGGAAGGTTGCACGTCCAAGCACTGACCAGACCTTAGCCAGCTTAGAAAGGTCTAGAAAGGCAGCTGCGCCTTGGACCTTCCAACGGTGCCTTTGGCTTCCCCTTTTTCCTTGGCCACAGCTGTAATGAAGACTGGCAGTCCGTGTGACTGCATATGTTCACATTCATCCCTACAATCCCTCATCACACCCTTGTGACTTCCCTCTACTGCCTTCTATACTATTGAAATTGCAAATGCGTGCTCCTTGGGGCCAGGGGCCTCTCTTCTGTTGCTCATGAAAGCAGCAGACACATTCAAATGTGCCCACGTACAACTGATTGCTTGTAAATGCTGTCAAACTCCTAAGCCCAACTACTAAAGTCGATTTGCTGAGCAGTGCCCAGCTCCATTTAACCCTCTTGTTCTTCCTCGTGGCGCACAGACCTGTTACCCACGTTCTATCTCCTTTACAGCCTCCTGCCTGCCCAGTACGGCCAATCCCAGGATCAGCTGGGGCCAAAACCACACCAAGATGCCTCCAGCCGCATTTTGCAAAGCAGCGGCCTTTCCCCTCACCTGCGTGCTTTCCCGTAGTTGGCCGTGTCGCTGCCTTGCTCCCTGTACCTGCAGATGTCCCCTTGGCAGATCAGGCTCCTCTGGGCGCTGATGAGGGCGTATTTCACCTAGCAAAGGCACAGACAAGAAGCCATTGTGGATGCCAGCGGGTGGTCGGCAACCAGATCACTGCTGATGGAAGGCTCAAACCAGACAGGGAGGTGGCCTCCGACAGAAACTCTCGCATGGTAAAGGGAGCAAAAAGATATGGAGGGTCCAAAAGGGTACAGGCAAAAAGACATTTGCACATTTATCTGGAAAGCACCTTGACTGTGCCACCTAGCAAACGTTATCACTTGAGAAGAGGCAGAGCTCAGCACTAGACCTACAGATGGCCAGCTGGAGGAAACAAACAAACAAAAAGAGTAGCTGTCGCGGTGTGCTTGGCCTGAGGAAGAGAAGAAGAAGAAGAGATTGGATTTATACCCCACCCTTCACTACTCAAAGGAGTCTCAGAGCGGCTTACAAACTCCTTTCCCTTCCCCTCCCCACAACAGACACCCTGTGAGGAAGGTGGGGCTGAGAGAGCTCTGACTGAGAACTGCTCCTGTGAGAATAGCTCTGAAAAAACTTGTGACTGACCCAAGGTCATCCAGCAGGTGCGAGTGGAGGAGTGGGAAATCAAACTCGGTTCTCCAAGATTAGAGTCCACGCACTTAGCCACTACACCAAACTGGCCCTTCTCATGCGACAAGGAAAGGTGTCGATTCCCCCAGGCAATCTGCCTTCTCCCAGGTGGGAGGTACAAGGCTGCCTCAGGAGAAAAACAGGTTGCTTACCTGTAACTGATGATCTTCGAGTGGTCATCTGTGCAGTCCACACACCATGGGTTTTATGCCTACGTCAAACCTCCGTCGGGAAGCCTAATAAGCTTTAGCAACAGCTTCCAAGTGCGGAGTCCTCCACAGCAGTGTTCCCTCTAAGCTGAGTTAGTGTGAGCTAGCTCACAGTTTTTTAGCCTCCGGCTCACACATTTTTGTCTTAGCTCAGGAAAGATGGCTCCAGAGCAAACTAATTCATGCAGTAGCCAAATTGCTTGCTCACAGCTTTAAAGCTAATCGTTCACAAAGTAGAATTTTTGCTCACAAGACTCCACAGCTTAGGGGGAGCATTGCTCCACAGTCTCGTGCAGCACGCTCCATCTGAGCATGCTCAACAGCCCTGGCGGACTACGCCCCCACTCAGTTCTTTTTTAACCGCCTCCTGAGAAGAAGATTTTGAGTGCTTTTTGCCGGAGCAGGACGGTCTTTTAAGCGATTTGTCCGCTTTTTCCTTTTGCTGCCCGGTAACGGCCGCAGCACGTTGCGCCGAATCTCCCCTTTCTAACTGTGGGGGAGGCGGCGATTGCCCCTTTCCTGCTGTCTCGGCCATTGTAGGGGCGAGGGACTGCTCTAACAAAAACACTTTCAGGCAAGCCGCCCTATTCTTCCTCGCCTGACTAGTGAACCTCAGGCAGTGGTGACAGGAGCCGGGTCTGTCTTCCTCCCCCAAGCAGCGCAAGCAACAGCTGTGGCCATCCGTTAGGGGGAGATTCGCTGCACAGCGCAGACACCTCTTAAAATAAGGCGTGGGTCCCATCGACCAACCCTTGCCCAGGTTAATGACTGATATGTGAACAGACAATTAGCATTTACTTTGTTACAGTTGAGGAGGCTTCCCCGGAATGACGGGGAAAAAATGTCTTCTCAGGAGGCGGAGTCTGCCGGGGCTGTTGAGCATGCTCAGATGGAGCGTGCTGCACGAGACCGTGGAGGACTCCGCACTTGGAAAGCTGTCGCTGAAGCTTATTAGGCTTCCCGACGGAGGTTTGACGTAGGCGTAAAACCCATGGTGTGTGGCCTGCACAGAGACCACAAAGAAGATTTTGTTAGCTAGACTGCCATGTGGCTGAGCGGGCTGCTTTGGGCCCGGAACTCTCTATGCACACAAAGCTTTGGGGCTTACTTGGGTGACGTACCTAAGATGGTTTACTGGGGACAGATGCCCAAATCCGGGTCCTTTCCAAGTGTTGCCTTCTCACCCCGGCCTTCACCCTGTGCCACACTCTGCATCACCATCTTCTTGTGCTCTGCGCTTGCCACTCCCGTTCCCGTAGCCTCACAAACCCTCTCAGTCTTGCTGCCTGTCTCGTTTTGATCGCTCTTACAGACTCTACTGGATGCCCTGACCCCTGCCGCTGCAACAGGTACCTGCTGCTTGCTCTCCCCGGGCTTCTCACTTGAGTTTCTTTGGGTTCACCTTCCCAGTCCCAGTCCTTTGGTTTTTCATCTTGCAGCTGTTTTACATCCCCTCCAGGTCTCGCCCACTTCAGATTCACCTCTCGCTCTCTCTTCTGCTAAGCGAGCCTCTTTCATTCGCTTTTTCTCTCCTTTTAATTTACTTCTCCGTGCCCTCCCCCCTTCTTCCCCTTCAAGCTCCTGTAGCGCAACCTTATGGATATCTAGTCAGAAGTCAGTCCCACTATGCTCAACAGGGTTCACTCCCTCTTAAATGCGCTCAGGACTGCAGATTTGGTCAGCTATTTGCAGATAAAATTTGGCTCTCACGGTCAATGCTCCCTCTAAGCTGTGGAGTCTTGTGAGCAAAAATTCTACTTTGTGAGCTACTGGCATTAAAGTTGTGAGTGAGCCATTTGGCCGCTGCATCAATTAGTTTGCTCTGGAGCCATCCCCTTCCTGGGCCAAGACAAAAATGCGTGAGCCGGGGGCTAAAAAACTGTGAGCTAGCTCACACTAACTCAGCTTAGAGGGAACACTGCTCACGGTCCTCATTTCCCTCCTTCTGCTGACTCCTCTGGACCACTGTTGTCCCCCTTTCTCCTTGTTCCCACATTCAATGATCCCTTTTCTGTCCACCTCATTCAAACATCTACTTCCTTCCTTCCTTCCTTTATTTATTTATTACATTTGTATCCCGTCCTCCCCAGCGGGCTCAGGCACCACCCCCTATAGAGGGTGGTGGCTCAGGGCAGCTAACAGAGGCAGGTCGTTCGCCTTGCCATAAATAAGAACATATAAAAACATAATAAAAACATCCATACTAAAAGCACAGTACTCTATCCAGTTACTAGTATCCTAGATCCAAGATGGTATCACCACAGTTCCAGATGGTACTCCCGTAGCGTACATATTCAGTGGCGACGGCTTGTCAGATCTTCTGTATTTTCTAAGTTCTTCCTCAGGCCTTGTCGATGCATCCATTAAGATGTCTTGACGTTGGTGGTATAGTGGGGCGGCGGCTCCTACTCAAAAGCCTGGCGGAAGAGCTCCGTCTTGCAGGCCCTGTGGAACTGCACAAGGTCCCGCAGGGCCCGGATCTCCCCCGGGAGCTTGTTCCACCAGGTAGGAGCCGCCACCAAAAAAGCCTTGGCCCTGGTCACAGTTAGTTTGGCATCCTTAGGGCCCGGGATGACCAATAAATTTTGGGCCCCCAACCGTAGTGCTCTTGGGGGAACATGTGGGGCAACGCGGTCCCTCAGGTAGGCTGGCCCCTGGCCATATAGGGCTTTATAGGTAATAACCAGCACTTTGAAGCAGATCCGGTACGCTATCGGCAGCCAGTGCAGCGCTTTCAACACAGGCTGAATATGGTCCCTCCTAGAGAGACCCATCAACAGCCTGGCTGCAGCATTCTGCACCAGCTGCAGCTTCCGGATCTGCGACAAAGGCAGCCCCATGTAGAGAGCATTGCAGTAGTCTAGCCTTGAGGTGACCGTCACATGGATCACTGTGGCCAGGTCATCGCAGTCAAGGTAGGGGACCAACTGCCGTGCCCACCGAAGGTGGTAAAAGGCTGACTTGACAGTGGCTGCCACCTGGGCTTCCATTGTCAATGTGGAGTCCAGGAGCACCCCCAAACTCCTAACCCCAGACCGGTCCGACTCAGGCCCAGGACCTCTGTCTTCGCCGGATTTAGTTTCAATCGGCTCAGCCGGAGCCAACCAGCCACGGCCTCCAATCCCTGATGAAGGTCATTGGGACTCGAGTCCGACCGGCCACCCAGCATCAGACAGAGCTGGGTGTCATCTGCATACTGATGGCACCAAAGCCCATAACTCCGGGCAATCTGGGCAAGGGGGCGCATATAAATGTTAAATAGCATCGGGGACAACACCGCGCCCTGAGGCACCCCGCAATCAAGGGGGTACCTATGCGATCGCCGGTCCCCGACGGCCACCCTTTGTCCCCAATCTTGTAGGAAAGAGGCAAACCATTGAAGGGCAAGCCCCTGAATCCCCACGTCGGCGAGGTGGTGGGTCAGCAGTTGATGATCGACCGTATCGAACGCGGCCGACAGATCTAACAACAGCAGTGCCGCCACACCTCCTCGATCCAGATGTCGTCGAAGATCATCAGTCAGGGCGACCAAAGCCGTCTCAGTCCCATGACCAGGGCGAAAACCGGACTGGAAGGGATCGAAGACTGAAGCGTCCTTCAGAAAGCTCTGTAGCTGTAGTGCCACCGCCCTCTCAATAAGTTTGCCCAAATAGGGCAAATTGGACACCGGCCGATAGTTAGCCAATTCGGCTGGGTCTAGAGATGGTTTTTTAAAGAGAGGGCGGACCATCGCCTCCTTGAGCGCACTCGAGAACTGCCCCTCCGAGAGGGACTTGTTGATAATCTCCCGTAGTGTGCCTCGTAACCCCTCGTGTCCTGCTTTAATGAGCCAGGAGGGGCACGGATCAAGGTCACATGTGGTTGGGTGTACAGATACGAGCAGTCTGTCAACTTCGTCCAGACTGAGCGTATTGAAACACTCTAAACCTGGTACCGAAGACGTGCAAGGGGCCTCGAGTTCGCTCACTGTCTCAATTGTGGCGGGGAGGTTGCGGCGCAGCGCCAAGACTTTATCTGCGAAGAAGCTTGCAAAAGCCTCACAGCCAATATCCAATTCTCTAACGTTTCGCCTGCCCTGAGGCAGGTCTGTCAAAGTCCAAATTGTCCAAAATAGTTGGGCCGGGCGTGAGCTCGCAGATGCAATTTCGGCTGTAAAGAAATCCTTCTTAGCAGACTTAACTGCCATCTCATAGGATCTCATAAACGTCCTATAAGATGCTCTTGTCGCCTCGTCGCGAACGCGACGCCACCGTCTCTCTAGTCGTCTCAGTTCTCGTTTTAGCTGCCTCAACTCCTGGGTATACCAGGGTACGCGCCAAACAAGAGTGCGGAGAGGATGCCTGGGAGCGGTCTCGTTGATGGCCGTGGAGAGTCGGACATGCCAGTCCTCCACTAGCTCATCCAACGAGCCGCCAGGGGGCCTTGGATCCCGCAAGGCCATCTGGAACCGCACCGGGTCCATTTGGCTTTGCGGGCGAGCAAAAATCTGCTCACCGCCCAAACAGGGTTGAGGTGGAATGTTCAGACGGGCCTTCAGGGCCAGGTGGTCCGACCATGGCCCTGCCTCTGCAGTGATCCGCCCCACCTCCCCCCCCGCCACAAAGATCAAATCGAGCATGTGACCGGCCCGATGCATGGGGGCCCATACAAACTGCGAGAGTCCCAGCGCCGCCATGGGTGACACCAGGCCCGTAGCCCGGCTGGAGGTCACGTCCTCAGCATGGATGTTGAAATCACCGAGGGTGATCCAACGCCCAGCCTGCTACGGCCTCCAGCAGGGACGGCAGACTATTGGCCGGTGCATTAGGCGGTCGTTACACTAGCCAAATCGCCAAACTCTCCTCAGCCCCCAGCAGCACGCCAATACATTCCACGCCCGCGATCTCCACAGCCGGGAGTGCCCAGAAGGAGTAAGCCACCCGAATGAAAACAGCCACCTCTCCCCCCCGCCCCCAAGTCCATGATTGGTGAAGGACCGAGTAACCCGGGGGGGGGGGGTAACTGGGTAAGAGCCAAGGTCTCCCCGTCCCTCCCCCAGGTCTCGGTCACGCACGCCAGGTCCGCCTGATGTTCAGTCACAAAGTCCCGTAGGGTTGTGACTTTGTTATTAATGGACCTGGCGTTGCGCAACACCAATGACGGAGGGGGGTCCATCCTGGCCCCACTGCCAGCCACCCTTGGGATGGGCCGTAGGCTGGAAGGGCACCGAGCTCTTCTGTGTCTCTGCATCCTTCCCTTATTACCCTGCCTACGCCCACCGTTAAACTTACCCCGCCCCAAGAGCACCGGAATATGCTGGCCAGGCATTGCTACCGCCGTCAGTTTATGTAAAAACTTCAAACCACTGGTAGTCAGCAAATGCTAACCGTCACGAGCTGGCCACAACTACTCCAATGCTACCACTAACATAACACACACAATAACAACTCTCTACTCTGCTACAAAACCCTAAAGATTGTACTAGAAATCTTCTACAATGTCACCTCAGCAGCTACCAGTCTCTCACCATGGTGACATAAACTAACTATCTTACAATCAAATATACATATACAAATTTAGCAGACAAAAATCCTCAATCTAACTCCCTGGCATCCACAGTTATAGTACTCCAGCTCTGTGAGAGGCAGCAGGATCCTAACGTCCTTCCCAGTAGAGCCTTCCTTCTCTATTACACCTTTTAACCCCTCTTTCCTGCTGCTTACGCTGCTTGTTTTGAATCTATTTTTGTTTCTCCCATCTTGAAACTCTCCCTCAGCCCCTCCCCCCTTCCCTGTCATTCTCTCTTGGCATGATCATTCCAACAGTTCTTGAACATTCTGTTTTCTTTTCATCACAATTTTCATTCTTGGCTTTCCAACCAAGCTGCTCGTTTTGTTTCCTGCTTGTGAATTCATGGGGCTATTCTTGATTTTTCTGGAGCCCGTCCCCCTTCTGGTTAGGAGCACAGACTCTAATCTGGGAGAACTGGGGTCTGATTCTCCACTCCTCCCCATGCAGATGCTGGTGTGACCTTGGGTCAGTTACAAGTTCTCTCAGAGCTGTTCTCTAACAAGCAGTTCTCAAAAGAGCTCTCTCAGCCCCACCTACCTCACAGGGTGTCTATTGTGGGGAGGGGAAGGGAAAGGAGATTGTAAGCTGCTCTGAGACTCTTTTGTGTGGGCAAGGGTCAGCGATTAGGCACACCTATCCTGATTTTAACCCATATTTCCAGACTCTGTAAACATCTGGATTGATCAGTAACTCTGATCAATCCAGAGTCCTGACCTTTGCACATCCTGGACCTGTGGGCATGTTAAAGAAGGTAGCTCATTAATTATTGTACTATGTAAGCATCCTTAAGACGTCCTCCCTAAAATATCTGTTTTCCTGTTTCTGTACGTGCAAGTCCCAGCCTCACCTCCCGGTGGGTGGGTGGGGGCAGAGTGTGTATAAAATAAACTATTGCTGCCTTGAAAGGCAGACAGATTTCTCTGCCCTCAAGAGAGCTGTCTCGTGTGATTCCTTCACTTCTGAGTAGTGAAGGGCGGGATATAAATCCAATCTCTTTTTCTTCTTCTTCTTACCCATCTTGAAACCCTTCTCTCCTTATAACTGTTTAAGCAATACTTGAAAATGTGTCACTTCTTTCAAGCTTCTGGCCTCTAAACTCTGAAGCCAACCTTCTCCTCTCCCTCCACTCCCCTTTGCACCCCTTTCTGGCTGGTAAGCCTGCAGGCTATTTGTCCTTTGAATAGATGTTCAGACATGACACCACCGCCACCATCAAATAAACCCCAGTCTAAATAAGACACGGCCATACTTATTGCACCTGATACCTTCCCTTCCCTGGCCAAAATTTCTGATCCGTGATGCCATCCCGGCCGGAGGAGGAGGAGAAGAGATTTGATTTATACCCCGCCCTTCACTACCCAAAGGATTCTCAGAGCGGCTTACAAACTCCTTTCCCTTCCCCTCCCCACAACAGACGCCCTGTGAGGTAGGTAGGGCTGAGAGAGCCCTGACAGAAACTGATCTTTTTCAAGAACAGCCGTGCCAGAACTATGGCTTGCCCAAGGTCATCCAGCAGCTGCAAGTGGAGGAGTGGGGAATTAAACCCGGTTTTCCAAGATTAGAGTCAGCGCACTTAACCACTACACCAAACTGGAATCAACTCTAAGAGCAAAACTAGACATGATTGCTTCCTTGTGGCTGCCACAAGGCCACCGCTGCCACTTTTAAGTGATCTGAAATTGCTGCAAGAACCCATTCGTAATTCAGTCCAAAGGACAGGCCCCCCCATACCCAGTTTGGTGGAGTGGTTAAGTGCGCGGACTCTAATCTGGGAGAACCGGGTTTGATTCCCCACTCCTCCACTTGCACCTGGCTGGATGACCTTGGGCAAACCGTAGTTCTGATAAGAGATGTTATTCAAAAAGATCAGTTTCTGTCAAGAGCTCTCTCAGCCCCACCTACCTCACAGGGTGTCTGTTGTGGGGAGGGGAGGGGAAAGGGGTTTGTAAGCCGCTCTGAGACACCTTTTGGTAGTGAAGGGCGGGGGATAAATCCAGTCTCTTCTTATTCTTTCTGAGTGTCAAAACCACAGGGTGAACAAGGGTGCAAGGGAGAGCAAGATCGGGCCCTCATAACCTCTTTAAATCACTTTGAAATGGCAGCAGTGTCCCTACAGCAGCCACAAGTGTCCCTGTGCCATGTCAAGTAAACCCTCAGGAACAGCCCTGCAAGGGTCCTACTTGGCTGCCACCTAGGCAACTCCCCCCTCCCCCTGCCTGTAGCTGAAACAAGCCCTGCACCTCTTTTTCTGGCCAGGAATGGCCTCAGGACTCACCATCTTCCGCAGGGGCTTGCTGCGAACTGCCATGCCGTCCATGTAGTCCTCCAACTTGAACTGGTATGATACTTGCAGCTTCTGCAGCAGGCCATCGAAGAAAAGTGTGCCCTGTGAAGGGGAGAAAGGCGTCAGGAAGAGAGGGAGACTCTCTGCACCTAGTTCAAGCGCCCCTGGTGGGTGATTAGTGTCCAAGACAGCCACGAGCATCTCCAGCTCAAAGGTCCTTAATGCTCCTGATTTTTTGGGGGGTGGGTGGGATCAGAAGGCAGACCACTAACCAATTTACAGAGGACCGCTTCACCTCCGTTAAGATTCATGCCAAGAACACTACTGTCGATCTGATCCGGCAAGGCACCTCTTACATCGTTCAGCATGAATGACAACATTCGCATGTTGAACTATTGACTGCCAAAAGAACCTGAACATGCTGTCTTGGTTTATACATCTGTAGAGAAATACATTGTCTCCTGGAAGGCTGGCAATGAGCAAGGCCTTCACGGTACAGTTTAACCATTTTTTCCCCTCTGAACTAGGAACAAGCAGGAGGGGGAGGAAATTAGCCCATGGCCTTCCAGGCGCATTTCTTAAGATATGTTAATAGATCTAGCAGGAGAGACAACAGGGTGGGCCAGTTCTCCCTCCCTCCTCCTACCAGGGAACAGAGATTTGGAAGATTAGAATGCTAGATAATCTCCAGGGATATTCCCCAAGAAGGGGCTGGGAGAAATACTTCTCTGAACTGGCCTGACCAGGTCAAGTTGGAGGGACAAAGAGAGATAATAAAACTTCCTTGCCACCGAAAGTAGGCTCTCTTTCTTTGGGGTGCTGTGTGGAGGGGAACTCAGCTCTGGTCTGCAAGCAGGGAGCCACTGACCACATGGTCTCCTGGGAGAGTTGGAGCAAGCTTTGAGGTAATAGCAACTTTGTAGAGATTTTAACTAGCTATGCTTAAAAATCCTATAGAATCATAGAATCACAGAGTTGGATGAGACCTCCAGGGCCATCTAGTCCAACCCCCTGCACAATGCAGGAAATTCACAAATACCTCCCCCCCCTCCACATCCACAGTGACCCCTGTTCCATCTGTCCTATTTTAGCAGCTGGTAGGGCATGCGGTGGCTCAAGTGGTTAAGACGCTGAACTGCAGGCTGTGGAAGGTCAGTAGTTCAGCAGTTCAAGACCCGGGTGCCGCAAAACGGAGTGAGCTCCCGTCTCTAGTTCCAGCTCCTGCCAACCTAGCAGTTCGAAAGCAAGAAATTGCAAGTAGATAAATAGGGATCACTTCGGTGGGAAGGTAACAGCGTTCCGTGCGCCTTGGTGTTTAGTCATGCCGGCCACATGACCACGGAAATGTCTTCGGACAGCGCTGGCTCTTCGGCTTTGAAACGGAGATGAGCACCGCAACCCTAGAGTCGGATTCGACTGGCTTTCGAGCAAGGGAACCTTTACCTTTACCTTAGGGCATGTATAAAGAGAGGGACAGAAGATTTCCACTTTTTACCAATTTCTTTTCTATCCCTTGCTCAAATCTGGTGTTGTGCTAAAAGTATGCTTTTGAACATGTTCTTTTAAATAAATACTTCATAACTTTGGATACTGGTAGCGACTCTGTACCACACAGACCTCTGCCATTTTTAAAAGTGGGGTTTAAATGGGGCTACTTTAAAAGGGGCTCCAGGCGGGTTGGCAAGTGACTGTTCCCCCAGGGAGACCCAAGGCATTAATCTGTTCCCAGGCGCTGGGCAGTGGGAGACGCAGAGGCAAGGCCTCGGAAGGGGAGCTGGGGGTCCTGATCCTCCCAGCGGGAAGATCCCTACAACCATCAGGTGGTGGCGGCAGCTACCCTGAGAGTGAAAGAAAAGCCCCTCCAGGGAATTGGGAAGCCCTAGGAGGGCAGGGCAGAAGAAGGCCTGCAGGCCAGAGCAGGAACGTTCTGCCACAACATCTAAAAAGCAGTGGTGGCCTTGTGAAAACGAAACCGTCTGTGCTAGACTGAAGTCAGTCTGGTGTAGTGGTTAGGAGCGGTTTGGTGTAGTGGTTAAGTGCGCAGACCCTAGTCTGGGAGACCGGGTTTGATTCCCCACTCCTCCACTTGCACCTGCTGGATGACTCCGGGCAAGCCATAGTTCTGGCACAGCTGGTCTTGAAAAAGAGCATTTTTTGTCAGAGCTCTCTCAGCCTCACCCGCTTCACAAAGGGCATCTGTTGTGAGGAGGGGAAGGGAGTTTGTAAGCTGCTCTGAGACTCCTTTAGATAGTGAAGGGCGGGGTATAAATCCAATCTCCTCCTCCTCCCTCTCTTAAGCCAGGCCTCCAGCCTTTGAGAGCAAAGGTGTCTGTGGAAAAGGGTTTCCAGATTCTTCCAGTTCCTAGCAGGGAAAAGGAAGCAAAGGCAAGCCATTCATTGTCCAGGGGATTGGGAATCCCTAGGAGGGCAGGGCAGAACAAGGCCTGCAGGCCAGAGCAGGAACGTTCTGCCACATCTAAAAAGCAGTGGTGGCTTTGTGAAAACGAAACAGTCTGTGCTAGACTGAAGTCAGTCTGGTGTAGTGGTTAGGAGCGCGCCAGTTTAGTGTAGTGATAAGGAACACGGACTCTAATCTGGGAGAACTGGGTTTGATTCCCCACTCCTCCACTTGCACCTGCTGGATGACCTCGAGTAAGCCATAGTTCTATCAGGGCATTTCTTGAAAGAGCAGTCCTCTCAGAGCTCTCTTAGCCCCACCTACCTCACAGGGTGTTTGTTGTGGGGAGGGGAAGGGAAAGGAGTTTGCAAGCCGCTCTGAGACTCCTCTGGGTAGTGAAGGGCAGGGTATAAATCCAATCTCCTCCTCCTCTTCTTCTTCCTCCCATGCTTAAGATGCTCAGGTCACAGCCAACAACCCCACTTTTGACACCATGGGGAAGCTGAAGCAATGCCGCCAAAGCCCAAGCAGCTCCCACAGATCAGGCAGGCCACGACTCAGGTTTCAACTGTGGGCTACCCCATTTTCTTATTTGATGGGTACCCTTGGAGAACTCCCAGACTCAAACTTAATCGCAGAGGTTGTCCTCCATGACCATGAGGGGATATGTGCGTGTGAGATGGTTTGGTTGCAGGCGCTTGCACGGCCGACTCAGCAAGCTGCTGCTTAGTTCTAAATAATAAACTGAAAAGCAAGTTATTTTTTCAGCTTGGGGCAGAAATTTTAAAGAAACCTGAGGCTTTTCAGCGTTCTCCTCTACAGACTCGCTTAGTGGAACTGCCCCAATCAAGAACGGGAAGTGGGTGACACATGGAGACGCACTCAATTAGACTTCACCGGGGAATACCCTATTTGGGGGACACCCCTTTTTCTCCTTCCCCCTGCAGCCAAACCAGGCTGGAGGAATGGGCCTTGTATTACCTCATCCAGGATCTGGAGCAGTTTGCTGCGGAGCTCCTGGCTGTTCTCCGCAAGGGGATCCTTGAGTAGCTGCCGGAACTTTTCGATCACCTGGTAGAAGGCATTCTTCCACAGCAGCTGGTCCACGTTCTGGGTGTCAGCAAACTCAATGTCGGTCAGGAGGCAATGCTCATAAAGCTGCAGCATCTCAGCTCTGGGGGGGGAAATCACACACCACAGTTGCTCCACAGGCACACACAGAGCAGCTCCAGCCCGGCTATGGCTGGGCCCACGGAAACACCTTCAAGACTTAATGCATCTGCACTCAGGAGACAGGATCCACATTTAAGTTCGCCATCAGCAGGAGGGAATTTTCATGCCACTCCCTTTCCTCTGCAGCCCCCCCCCCCCCCAAGGCCTCCCCGGGAAATAGGGGGGCCTTGAAACATGAATGGGGAGGTCTGCAGTGTGAAGGGGGAATTGGTGGAAACTGCCAGTTTAGTCTGGTTCCAACCCTTGAGTTCTCACTGGAGGAAAAACTGGGGGGGGGGGAGAGATATGGGAGCTCCTTTTCAAGGCAGGCACTCCTCCCCCCAGGGCCGTAGCCAGCGGTGAGGCGTGGAGGGCAGCACCCCTGTCGAATTTGAAGTGCCCCCGATCCCCCATCCCAACAGTCCATGCTCAGCCTCTCTCGGCAGCACACAGAGTGCTGGGAAAGCCCCTCACCAACCCAGCTGTGAGTTGCAGCAAGGACGAGGCTGTGCAGCTCCCCGCTTCGGATTGCCCTTGCTCAGCAGAAGCTGCCGCATGAGAAGCGAGAGCTGGGTGAGCTGACCTGCCAGGATGGGCTGAGAGAGGGATGGAGGGGAGGCGGTGGCGAGTACATGAGAGGCGCTACCGCGCGGGGAGGCTATAGTTGGCACAGTGCAACGCCACGTGGCAGCCTTCAGGACTTGGTGGACATGCTGAGAAGAGGAGCTGCGAGCGCACAACCAGGGCTGTCACGACACAAACTCCCCCTCCCCTCCCATGATAGCAGGGGAACAGGGGGGGGGGGGGGACAGTAGCAGGTTCTCACCCAGTGTGCCTGCGTGGTCATGTGACTTGTCATGTGACCCTCTCCCTCCCCTGCTCCGCTAATTTAATGTAAACAAAATACAATTTAATCAGCACCCCCAGGAAGCAGGCGCCCCCCAACAAAAAAAATCCTGGTTAAGGGGCTGCCTCCCTACAGCACCATGCCGAACAACATGTTCATATGAACTTAGCCAGGAGGAGGTCCTGAAGTGGGAATCTGAGAGATGGGGGGGGGGAGAATGGGAGACCACCTTTAACCAAACCGCAGGGAAAGCAGAGAGACGTGTTACAGAAGTCTCTTTGCAGCAAGACACCTCCTGTCCCTGACTTCCTTGCTAGTCTTTCCAACAAAGAGACTGTCTGCCCTCTTTTGCTTGCTCCTTCTCTCAATCTTCCTTGAAGATTAATCTGGGACACAGCAAGTATCCCCTGCTCTCCCAAGAGAGGCCTCTGGGCAATGCAGAGAGTAGAACTGTTGGCCCTCTTCAGCAAAGAGTGTTGGAGGATTCCTGTCACCACCCTGAATAACATTATACTCTTCATATGCATGGACAGCATGTAAACAATACAGAAATGAAATACTCTTCTCCGCACGTGTAGTGTAGCAGGGACTGGATGAAGCCTGGGGAGACCTACATTCAAAAGCTCCTTAGTCATACACCTCACTGGGTGACTTTGAGCCAGGCACACATACACGGAACGCTGTTGGGAGGATCAGGAACAGAGATCCCATGTGTGTCACCCTGAGCTCCTTGGAGAAAAACATTGTAGGCAAAACAGACAGGCATGATGGAGAACAAGGAGGCAAGAGCCCACAGGTGGCAGAATGGACTTGCTGCATGCAGATTCCAGGACTATGTCCAAAAAAGTCATAGAAAACTCCCTGCAAATACAAAACTAGCATACCACGATTGTACCCCCCTCTACTTGCTTGCTGTCCTGGTTTTCTGTTTGCAGGGAGCTTTTTAACATAGGGGGTGTGTGTTCAAACATGTGACCATCCTTCTGTAGTCAAAGCGCTGCAGTCCATTCAACCTCCTCAGGGCTCTGCTACCTCCTTTCTATGAACGCCTGAACAAGTCCTAAGGCTCCCAATGTTGGAGTAACCCATCCAGGAGCCCTCGTTGCTTCCATGAGACTGTGCGGGCTGGATAAGAGTTCTTGTGCTGCTCCTTGCTGGCTAGCTTTAACACAGCACAACCAAACAGCCAGGCCGAGAAGCATCGGTCAGGATCCCAGAGCCCAGCCCTCCACCTCATTCCCAGCACATATTTTTGCCCTCACACCGGAAAGAAGCCTCAAACCTGAGCTGCCCCATCTTCTCCAGGCCCTCAGGACTGAGCCGGTCCCGAGAAAGGAGATTGCTCAGCTGCTGCTCCAAATTGCTGGCTTCACGAAGGACCTTCGTGAGCTCCTGCTGCTGTAGGCTCCGGACCTGCTGCTCCATCTCAGGGCTCAGAGGACTGGCCAGGAGGGGGATACAGAGATAAGGCTCGGCTTGGTTCGGGTAGCCAGCAGGATAATAGGCACCTGGGAAAACCCCGTTGCTGGGACCCACTGGATACTGCAGTGAATATCCTGGGTAGGGGTAGGAGGAGGCCTGGCCCACGGGCCGCCCATAGTAGTAGGGGTTATCCGAGTTCTGGAACCTGTAGTAGGATGCCTGGGCCTGGCGGGTGTCACTCCGAGGCACAGGAGCCACCTCGTCATCCGTGTCTAGGAAGTGCAACTGGGTGGTCTGACTCTTCAGCGCTGGCTTCTGGTCTGGGTTATTAGGGTCCCAGAGTCGGCGGGCAGTGCCCCCTCGGCCCCTGCCCCGGGTCCCTTTGCTCCCACCTCCAAAGAGCAGCCTGGACCCTGTGTGGGGAGCCTCTGGAGAGCCAGCACTACTAGAGGTAAAGTCCGTGTTAGCTGGGAGGACTAGGATGCCCCGGCCCCTCCCCGGGGGCTCCCTCCTCATGCCCCTCCCCTCTCCAGTCTCTGTGGAGTCACTCAAACTGGCTCCGGACAGCTTGCGCTTTTGCTGGTCCCCGTCCGTCATACACAGGAACTTCCTGTTTACGGCCCTGTCACCGTGCTGGGCTCCTTTGGTCTCCTTCCCATTGGTGGTCCTGGAAGCCCAGCTGTGCTCCGAGCACCGTTTGGTCTCTGAGTCCCTCCTGGGACCATGTGCCTCTGCCTCCGCAGTCCTGTCGTCATCAAAGGAGTCTGTGGAGGATGTAGAGAGCTGCTTCCGAGGATGAGGCCTTTCCTTTATCAGCTCCTGATGCCTCTTCCCCGCCTCTGCTTCCACCCGTACTCCATCTGTGCTGTTGTTGCTCCCAGCTGAACTGGTACTGCAGGTGCGGTATCGGTTCCGACGCTTGTCAGATCGCGAATAACGCTTCGGAGTGCTTAGCTTGCCATGGGCCGTATCCGAGCTACCTTTCCTGGCTTTGTCCGCTCGCTCGGCTCGCCTGCCTTTCTCCCCATGGGCAGGTTTGGTTCCCTCTTTGCTTAGGCTCCCTTCCCTCCCTTCTTGGGTTGCCTGATTTCTGCAGTTGTTATTGCGCTTTCCACTATCCCTTTCAGACTCTTCATCCCCCTCTCCCTTAATGGAAGGTTCCTTGGTAGCAGAGTGGCTGACGGCGGCCTCCTTGGGCAAGCTTTGCAGGCGTTTCCCAGGCTGGTAGATCTGCTGGTCAGGTTTCTTGACTCGCCTGACAATATTTGGACACGAGTCCTCAGGGGCATTCGTGTGGTCTTGAGGGGGTCCCATCCCAATGCCCTGTTCCGAAGGGCTGTTTGAATCCTGCTTGCTTCCTCCTTTTGGGCCTTGAGATTTGTGGGATGCCTCTTTGCTGGGAGTGGCAGAAGGGCCCCTGTCTTCAGCCACTCTGTCCTTGGCTTCTTCAGACCCGGAAGGCTCCTGCTTTTCTAAGACGTGCTTGTTACGCAGCCGGGAGAGGCCAGGTTTGTAGATTTCAAGGTCTGGGCGCCTATTGTCCTTGCGATGTCGGGGTTCCTTCCTGGTCTCTACAAAACAAAAAGCACATGCAAATGGTTGGTTGTACAGTGGACAAAGAAAAAGACCATGCAGAGGCAGAACAGATTGGAAACTGGCAAGACATTACAAACACACATTTGCCTCTGAATGCATTCTTTATTTCATGATGGCTGCCCTATAGACCCTAAAGGACAAGAAATGGCAGCTGTTTGCACTTGGATTTCCTTCAGCTCTTTCCCACAAGGCTTAATTTGGGGGGTAAATCAGATATTGTGTATTGCTTTGAATCCTTTCAAGACAGAGAAGCCAACCAACAAATATCCCATATGTCTTTTAGGTCAATACAGCAAGACGTTTTCAGCTCCACAGATCTCTGCACAAGTAAAACTTCTGTGTTGTTTGAAAAGTCGCAAGCTGTAAGCCACCTCTTGAGCAGATCCCTGAAGAGGCAGCATATACATTTCCCCAAATAAATACAGATTCCTACACCAACCTAAGTCAGTCCAAGAACAGCCTTACTTGAATCTTGCTCCATTTCTACATCATCAAACACTTGATGATGCCCCAGACAACAAGAAGTAGAGCCTGCCAAGAGCCAAAGGCCAGGAAAGAGCCAGTCTGGGGCCTTCTGAGCTCCTTCTGCATGCCACAATTCCATGTAAATCCACAAGCTTGGCTCACAATTTTTCCATTTCATTGGTGAAACAACCAGGGATGTGTTTGCTGCTTGGACTCCCTCAAAGCTGGTGGCTGATTATTACTCTGAGGCTTGTTTTATGCAGACCTGTGAACAACAGGTGTCAAAAGTGTGATGCTGCCTATTTCTCCTTCTCAAGAAACCAAATGTATGCCTAGCTCTCCAGAACCACAGTGGCTGTGAACTGAACAGCCACTGCTTCTACAGCCCCCCCCCCAATGTTTCTTGTTGGTTTCTCCCCACCCCTACATTTTATTTAATATTTTATCCTGCCCTTCCCTCTAAGAATTTCAAGACACACGTGGCTCTCCTTTCCCCATTTTATCCTCACAACCTACTGAGATAGGCTAGACTGAGAGTATGTGACCAGCCCGAGGGCACTAAAGCAAGCTTCACACCACAGCTGGGGTATCCCAGATACCACTGTAACGCTATACCACATCTGTCCAGAATCACTATGGCAGAGCTAGAACTGACCTTCCGCAGAAGAGAACATCCCAGCTGTGGCCAATACCTTCTGCTGGTTAAGCTCTGTGTGCCACTACCAACCCGCAGGATACAAGTAATGTCAGACACCTCCAACTGTTCTCAGCTCCCAGACATCAGAACACTGGGGGAAGCTGTGACCTTGGCAACAGAGCCCTGGCCATGGCAGAGTTCTGGAACAAACAAGGTGACTACTGGAACTAGTTTTGCTAGGGAAAGTTTCCTTAACTTCTGAGCAAGGCTTCAACGGAGCTAGAGGTCAGCCTCAAAACGTATTTTTAATGAATGTAAACAAGGGGTCCATTTAACTGTTACAGTAAACTGCAGTTACCAAGACTCAAATAGAAAACATGGTAAACTGTAACAAGCAAAGTACTTTTAAGAATATATAAAGTATCAACAAGTTACTCTACTTCCAAGGAGCAGCCTGCAAAGCCACCCAATTATTTTTAAAGCACTTATTGCTGAGACCCCCTCAAGGACCACCAGGCTGCTACACTAGCACATGGGGAGGGAGAAACCTGGGAGTTTTTCAGCCGCATATCTAGGATGGGGTGCAGCAAGCCATAGTTACTTGCTGGTGATGGGATACAGATGTTACTTGGGGTTCAGGATGTATTTAGCATTTGAGGGAATTCTTCACCAAGGAGGCCACATACTGCAGAACTCAGAAAGAACACAGCTTAGAAACTGCAAGAGCAAAACTTCAAGGCCCACCTCCATACTAGAGTTACTGGCTTTGGGTAGACAAAGTATATCCAGAACAAAACTTTCTTGGTCTTAAAGGTGCAACTGGACTCTCAAACTTTGTTCTGCTCTATTTGTGGTAAGACAATATGGTTAGAGAAGAAGAGTTACGTTTGAGGAAATATTTCTACTGGATTGGCATCACTGAAAACACCTACAACCCAATGCAAGAGTTAAATGCACACTAAAATGTGTGGACTTCACACACATCTCTAGATCTTTATTGGCTAGTGGTCAAGAGTTCAAAATCAGAGGAGTTAGAGCCACGTTCACTTTATACCCTTTGACACATCCTTCTCTTATCCTGTTTTTCCCAACAGCAAAATGAGAATTTATTACCAACATCCCAGGACTTTTGTGGGGGCAAAACACAATAAAAGATCTTAAAAATAAACCACACCAACACAAACGTGTGTGTGCACTATGTCTTTTATATACCCGTGTAGCTGCATATATCACCAAAAAACTTTATATATATAATGCATACAGCACTTCTATATGATGTGTACATTCTGAGAGAAGAAATACAACTAGAAATCACCAACCAATTCTACTTTTAAGAATATGAAATATTGCAGAAAAGATCATGTAACACAGTCCAGCATCTTCTCCCATACAGGGATCACCCTGTCCCAGGACTCCAATATGAGGTTAAGTTTCACGCCCCACGTCTCAGAGCATTAGATTTAAGGATTATGATAGTGTTATAAAGTAGATTCGATGGTTCTTGCATTGTGAAGTGACCCAAAGCGGCATATAAATGAAAACCACAACAAGTTCTCCCTGTTTGACTATCGGAGCAAAGACAAAAAAACAGTTTCCATGATGTTTTGTGCTTTCATGCCAATAAAAGTTGTGTTTGTGTGTGTGGACAAAAGCACAGCCTGGCAGTCCCAGAAACACTCGTTTAGGTTTTGCGGCCACAGTCCTACTGCTGGAAGAGAGAAAACGCGCGGTTTACGGAGCTCCAAAGGGGGCTTGTGACAGGGCGCAGCCAAACCAGCAGCCACCCTCAACTGAAAAGGCTAAAGTAGAAGAGAGGTATTGGGCCGCCAAATCTCCCAGTCCAGCACCAGCGACGAAAGGCTCATAGTCGCTTCACGAGATGCTGCCTGGGCGGGCTCCGATTAAGGGGGATGATAAACGGCAGGCGCCCGCCCCGCTGTGTCCCCCCCCCCCTCCGGTGGAGTCTCGCCTCGCCACACCCCCGTCCCGCGCTAATAGAAGAGAGAAGCGGGATGAGCTCCGAGGAAAGAAGCAGGCCGCTCACACGAGCACGGATGATCCCGACCCGCCCTCCCGGGCCTCACCTGGGCCGCCCCTCCCCAACGCCGCTTCCGCCGCCAGAATCCCCCTTCTCAACTCCGCAGCCGAAACACGGACCCTCTCCAGCTCCGTTGCCGCCATTTTACTTCCCGGCACTAGGGAAACGGACGGCGGCCGCGAAGGGCCAATCCCGTGCAAAGGAGCTTGGGAGTTTCTATAAGCACGCGCTGCGGCCCCACCCTTCTTTGGCGCTTCGCCGGAAGCGGAACAAAAGGCTATTGTGAAGGAGAGCCGGAGCCAGCCATAGACGGCGAAAGCAGGCGTCAACGGGAACGCGCGGCCCGGCCTGGAAGCCCTTCTGCAAATAGCCGGGACTGTGGCATCTACGAAGCGGCGTAGAAGCCGAGCGAAGAACATGCATGCATGGATGGGTTGCTGCTGCGAGATTCGTCAGTAGTTCAGCAGCTCGAGACCCAAGTGTGCCGCATGACGGAGTGAGCTCCCGTCTCTAGTTCCAGTTCCTGCCAACCTAGCAGTTCGAAAGCAAGAAATTGCAAGTAGATAAATAGGTACCACTTCAGTGGGAAGGTAACAGCATTCCGTGCACCTCAGCATAAATGCCGGCTGGGATGTACTAAAAGGAAGGACAGGATTGCCCATTGGAAACAATGGGAGACGCTGGAAGGCCCATTGGAAATACTGGGAGCCAGGAATGCAAATTGCCAATTGACTTCCATGGGCTCCATTGGAAAACATTAGAGTATAAGTAGAGTTCCAATAAAAATGCAGAATGGATTTTACATTAGGGTCTCTGGGCCCATAGACTACTCTGGGAATGGAATGAGAGACCACGGAGTGCAATGACAGCCCCTGGGAGCAACAGAAGTGTTCAGGCATTGGAATGACAGGCCACAGAGTGGAATGACAGCCCCAGGGTGCAGCAGGAGTGTTCTGGAACTGGGATAACAAGACCAAGAGTGGATAGACAGCCCCAGGGTGGAGCAGGAGTGTTCTGGAACTGGGATGACAGGCCACAGAGTGGACAGACAGCCCCAGGGTGGAGCAGGAGTGTTCTGGAACTGGGATGACAACTCCAGGGTGGAGCAGGAGTGTTCTGGAACTGGGATGACAGGACCAAGAGTGGATAGACAGCCCCAGGGGGGAGCAGGAGTGTTCTGGAACTGGGATGACAGGCCACAGAGTGGACAGACAGCCCCAGGGTGGACCAGGAGTGTTCAGGAACTGGGATAACAAGACCAAGAGTGGATAGACAGCCCCAGGGTGGAGCAGGAGTGTTCTGGAACTGGGATGACAGGCCACAGAGTGGACAGACAGCCCCAGGGTGGAGCAGGACTGTTCATGGACTGGGATGACAGGCCACAGAGTGGAATGACAGCCCCAGGGTGGACCAGGAGTGTTCAGGAACTAGGACGACAGGCCACGGAGGGCATGACAGCCCCAGGATGCTGCAGGAGTGTTCTGGAACTGGGAACTCCGTGGCCTGTCATCCCTGTTACAGAACACTCCTGGTACACCCTGGGGCTGTCATTCCAATCCGTGGCCTGTCATTCCAGTTCCTGAACACTCCTGCTCCAACCTGGGGCTGTCATTCGACTCCTTGGCCTGTCATCCCAGTCCATGAACACTCCTGCTCCACCCTGGGGCTGTCATTGCACTCCGTGGCCTGTCATTCCAGTTCCTGAACACTCCTGGTCCACCCTGGGGCTGTCATTGCACTCCGTGGCCTGTCATTCCAGTTCCTGAACACTCCTGGTCCACCCTGGGGCTGTCATTGCACTCCGTGGCCTGTCATTCCAGTTCCTGAACACTCCTGGTCCACCCTGGGGCTGTCATTGCACTCCGTGGCCTGTCATTCCAGTTCCTGAACACTCCTGTTCCCCCCTGGGGCTGTCATTCCGCTCCGTGGCCTGTCAACCCAGTGGCTGAGCACTGCTGCTCCACCGTGGGGCTGTCATTCCATTCCGTAGCCTGTCATCCCAGTTCCAGAACTCTCCTGCTCCACCCTGGGGCTGTCTATCCACTCTTGGTCCTGTTATCCCAGTTACAGAACTCTCCTGCTCCACCCTGGGGCCGTCATTCCACTCCGTGGCCTGTCATCCTAGTTCCAGAACACTCCTGCTCCACCCTGGGGCTGTCATTCCATTCCGTAGCCTGTCATCCCAGTTCCAGAACACTTCTGCTCCACCCAGGGGCCGTCATTCCACTCCGTGGCCTGTCATCCTAGTTCCAGAACACTCCTGCTCCACCCTGGGGCTGTCATTCCATTCCGTAGCCTGTCATCCCAGTTCCAGAACACTTCTGCTCCACCCAGGGGCCGTCATTCCACTCCGTGGCCTGTCATCCTAGTTCCAGAACACTCCTGCTCCACCCTGGGGCTGTCATTCCATTCCGTAGCCTGTCATCCCAGTTCCAGAACACTTCTGCTCCACCCAGGGGCCGTCATTCCACTCCGTGGCCTGTCATCCTAGTTCCAGAACACTCCTGCTCCACCCTGGGGCTGTCATTCCATTCCGTAGCCTGTCATCCCAGTTCCAGAACACTTCTGCTCCACCCAGGGGCCGTCATTCCACTCCGTGGCCTGTCATCCTAGTTCCAGAACACTCCTGCTCCACCCTGGGGCTGTCATTCCATTCCGTAGCCTGTCATCCCAGTTCCAGAACACTTCTGCTCCACCCAGGGGCCGTCATTCCACTCCGTGGCCTGTCATCCTAGTTCCAGAACACTCCTGCTCCACCCTGGGGCTGTCATTGCACTCCGTGGTCTCTCATACCATATTTCTATTGCAACTCTACTTGTACCCTAATGGTTTCCAATAGAGCCCATGCAAGTCAATTGGCATTCTTGGTTCCCATTATTTCCAATGGGCCTTCAAGTCTCTCCCATTGCTTCCAATGGGCAGTCCTGTCCTGTCCTTCCTTTTAGTACATTCCATGCCAGCAACATGACCACGGAAATGTCTTCGGACAGCGCTGGCTCTTCGGCTTTGAAACGGAGATGACTCCTAGCTTTCGACTGGCTTTCGAGCAAGGGAACTGGCTTTTGAGCAAGGGAACCTTTACCTCCCGTCGCGGAACAGCAGGGAGCCTGGCTCCAGCATGTCCCTTGTTCCCCCTTCCCCCGGGGAGGGGGGAGAAGATCGAAGAGAGATTCTAACACAAAGCAGGCACATGAGTAATTTTTATTCATTGAACAGGTGTTAAGGCAGCTGCACGAGGGACCCAGACCCTCAGAAGCACTGAACGTGAAGGAAAGAAAGGGACTTCTCCCCCCCACCCCCAGCTCTTCCAAGGGCAGAAGGTATAAGGCTCTAGCCCCCCTTAGGACTGCCAGACAACAACACTTCTTTCAAGCTTCCCTTCCTGATAAAAGGTGCAAATGAAGCCAGACTCCTTCTAGTCCATTTCCTCCCTTTCACAAAGGGTGCTCTCCCCAATCCTGCTCAGTCCTGGAACATGGGGCTCATATATCCATTTGGGGAAGACCCGCTTGTAGAGGGTCATCAGCACTGTGTCCTGGGACTTCAGCTGCCCGTCAAACTGGCATTTCATCAGGCCGTGGGTACCTGGCAACAGAGGAGAGAAGTTATAAACTGCCTGCCCAGTAACCCGGGGGTGGGGGGGAGAGATCTACTAGCCAGTTTGGTGTAGTGGTTAAGTGCGCGGACTCTAATCTGGGAGAACCGGGTTTGATTCCCCACTCCTCCGCTTGCACCTGACTGGATGACCTTGGGCAAGCCATAACTCTGGCACAGCTGTTCTTGAAAAAGAGCAGTTTCTGTCGAGCTCTCTCAGCCCCACCTGCCTCACAGGGTGTCTGTTGTGGGGAGGGGAAGGGAAAGGAGTTTGTAAGCCGTTCTGAGACACCTTTGGGTATTGAAGGGCAGGGTATAAATCCAATCTCCTCTTCTTCTTAAATCCACACCATTGGCCTCAATCCACTTACCCACAGGCTCTTTGATGTGCCCCCGCCGACCCCACTTGGTCCGGAGTGCTACTGGCTTAAACCACGACACGTCCTCTGTAGGCAGAGAGAAAAGAATGAGAGGGAAGCAGCTAACGCGCACATCACTAGGCACTGCCACGTGCCTGCCCCATTAGTGCATTCCAGAAGGCAGCTCTTCATGCCGTCCAGCTGCACAGGCTGTATACATGCCTGCATGAACAGAATCCGTTTCAGGGAGTAACTTCATCCTTTCTGCAATCTACAGAGCCCCAGCACTTCTTCCAGAAAAGATAATAATGCTAAGAAATCTTGCTTTGTCATCAGCTTACCCAACCCCATAGGTACTCTCCCACCAGGACCCCACACTCCCGTGAACCACTGAAGGGTTGCATGAAGTTTCATTAGCATTATGCTAAAAGAACTGGCATTTTACTCCACAACTACCTCTCAAAGGGGTGACAGGCTGGTGGGGGTGGATGGGGGTGGGGGGATGGATCTTGCTTCCACTGCTGCTTGAGGTCCATCAAGAGCAGCAAATGGTCGCACCCTGCCTGCTGACCAAAAGAGACTAAGACCTGTACCTCTGTTGAAGAACATGTAGCGCACAACAGCCATCTTCCTGTGGATCTTGAAAGGGTGGCCACTGAGCACCACCCGCTTGAGGGTCACCCTGCTGGGGTCAACGCTGTGGAGAGAACCCGTGGCCAGGAGGTCATGTGATCCTAAGGAGAAAAACAGACGCTGCTAGAAAGTCATTTGACCAGCAGCAGGCTAGATCAGGGTGTTGCCTTTAGGTCCAGGTAGTCACCCTTTGTTCACTGCATGTGCAAGCTACTTTTTCGGCAGGCCCTTCGACATGGAAAGAGAGGTAGAACTAGCCAGCTACAATGCATGTTGTGAGTTCAAAAATTTCCCAGCCCAAATACGAAAGCAATTTTATAGAAGCTGAGGAATGATCAACTTTTTTGGCCCAAGGTACTGAAAATTGCAGTCTCTATCAGGTGAGAGTCTACGCCAGGGGAAAAAAAACTGATGGGGAGAGACTGGTTGGATACACCTGGAAGCATGCCAAGTCACAGCAGCAAGATTTGCTGCCAGGGTCTCAGTTGGGTGGGTCCTGAGTGCCAAGCAAAATGGTTTGATGTGCTGTTGCTGGCACAGACCAGGAGCCACCTAGTCCTCCTGTAGAAGATGCCAACACCACCAATAAAGGGAGGTACAAGCTTTGGTAACAAACAATGACATGACAGACAGGCTTGTCTGGGGAGACTGTTCCACAGAATACCACCACTGAAAACACCCTGCTTTCTCTCACACACACACACACACACCCCACCAATGGATCTGTTCAGTCATTAACAAAGGGAACACAGAGCTGAGTTCCACTGGACCACATAATGAGAAGGGAGGCTCCAGTAAAAGGCTCTCCTAGAAGTCTGCCACAACCAGCAGCACAGTGATTACATTACACCCTCAAAAGAAGACCAGGGAGACACACTAGCTCCCCTGCACACACCCCTTTTTACTTCTTCAGCTGCCCCATGAATTAATCGCAACTGGCCTCAGGTCATCTAGTACACTGGCCCCTCCACCATATGGGCTTTCAGTCCTCTGGCTTTGCAGCATGCTAAAGTCAGGAACGGTAATATCACCCTGTGGGAAAAGCCAAGCCTCAAATGTTCCTGACTCACCGTCACTCCTCTGCTTGAACAGCAACACGGAAGCTGGTGGGAAAGTGATGGGGCCATACATGGTAGCCATGGTGGGACCATCAGCTGGTAGAAACCGCACCAGCTTGTGCTTGGATGCTAAGGGAAGAAAATGACCTGTTTAGACCCTGCAGCCATCCTGCAAGCCGGAGCCCCCTTCTGAGAGCTTCAGGAAAGGGCTGTAAGAACGCTTGCACAGGTGGCCTTCAGTCAAACACACTGTGTTTGAGCGGCTTCTCCAGTGGCAGTGCAAACATGCCTTCAGCCACTGCCTTTGCTTCCAGACCATAATTCCTGACAGGCCAGCCTCCTATTCCTTTTTTTAAATTATTATTATTATTATTGAAGTTTATATACATAATCTTACATTAAACCATTGTACAATCATTTTACCCCGCTCCCCCCTCCCTCCTTTATAGTATCTTCATATTTTTAACCATGTGCACAGATTCTTCATTCGTATTTGGATATTTGGATTGGCTTCCCCCCTTTCCACCCATTCCTTATATCCCACCCATTTATTTGTAATCTTTTGACATTTCTCCTCCCATGTCTCTTCAGTAGCCAGCCTCCTATTCCTGGAGCTGAAGTAGACCAAGCAGTCCGTTATGCCCTCAGACAGAGGTTCCCTCCTAGTCCTGCTACCCTATGACTAGAGATACCAAAGATCACGTCTGTGATCTTCGGCATTCTATGAGCTACAGGCCCTTTTATCACAGACACATTTCCCCTCCCTCCTAACTGCAGAGGCCTCCAACCAGAATCTTGGGCTACAGAGCAAAAGCTCCCCCACCTGAGCTGTGCTGGGAATAAAGTGGCGAGGTCTGGAAGCGGCGGAATCCACAATGAACGATCACCTCCTCCTTAGCCTGAACAGGCTCAGTGTAGCTTGCGAAGCGTCTGACCAGGAGATTCAGCACAGACATCTGCAAGTGGGAGGGAAAACCAGAAGGGAGCCTGAGCCACCAGCCAATTAGCACACTGGCCCAAACGCATACCTCTGCAGGGGAACCTCAGGTTACCTAAGGCTCGTCAGGATGCATCGGACAGGTTCAGACACTGCGGTGAAAACTCATCACTGGCTTCCCCCTCTCACGTGTAGAAAGGAGGCACAGTTTACCTCTCCATCCATGCCCCTCATCTCCCCAATTCACCTTTTGCTCATAAGGTAGCAGGACGTAGAGCACCAGAGGCAGCTGCTGTTGGAAACCCTCTGTTACGGAGACTGGAACATTGCAAATGTGAAGCGTCACGTAGGTGCCAACCTGGGGAAAGGGCAGACAGGCAAAGGAGACAGGATGGCACCCGGGAAGGAAAGCTGCACTTAACTGCAGGAAGCAGCGAATACGGGGAAGGGAGGTAGTGTCTGTTTGAGAAGGTTTGCTGCCAACAGAGGAGGAGAAGTCAGAAAGTCTCTGCCCAGCAGCTGAAGGAAAAAACCCTCTTTTATTTCCCAAAGAAGTGGGTTTGATGTGTAAAGCGCCAGCCCAGGCACTTGGAGCCCTTCCCCTCCCTCTAAAAGATGCAAAGACAAGCACAGATGAGGAGGAGGCCCTGAAAGGTAGCACACCTCAAAAAGTTCTCTTCAAGTGCCTCATAGAACAAAAGGTTGATAATATGCTGAAGGCCCAAAGAGAGATTCTTTAACCTGAATTCTGCAGACGGGACATATTATGCCAGTTTACTTTTCCCATTCTGCATGACCTGCTCAGAGTTTCCTGGTCATGGGAGGAGCAAGGATTCCGCAGCCCCATCCCCTAGAAATCTCCTTCCACCTCTTCTCTGGCCCTCTGAGATTTCAGCAGGCATTGCACACAGGTGGCCAACCATATCTTTGTTACCAGTTGGTCAAGCAGGGAGCTGCATCCAAACTGAGCCGAATCCCTTTCCCCTCTTTTCAGCAAAGTGGTCAAGGCAGAACAACAGCTACCCTCTGTAGACCTGGGGAAGGGAAGGGACAGGTGTGCAATACAGCTGCAATGAGAAAGGAAGTGCCTACCGCCGCTCCATCCTCTTCCGCCTCCTTCAGCTGTCGGAAGACGTGCTTCCTGGTCTGGAAGAAATCCTGGAACTGGAAGATCCGGGCGTAGTCCCTGGGGAGATTCTCATTAGGGTCCCATGGGGATGTCCGGAAGCTTTTCAGTCCCCGGTATTTCTGGAAGCTGGAAGTCAGAGGGCATTAAGCTCATCCCATGCCTTACAGCACAATCTTGAAGCTCAGTCAACGAAAAACTTGGATGTCAACTAAGCCCTACCTCAGTGTATCTCAATACTGTTGCAAACCTCATTTGCACAACACTGGTGTCACTCATATGCTGGGATCGAATCAGGACAGTGTCAAGGGTGCGTCATGGAGCAGGGCTTCCAAGTGCTCCCCAGCCCCAGGCAGATCCCCAACATCAGCACTATATTACACCAGCAAGAACATCCCAGAAAGGGTCACGTGCAAGGAAAAAATCTTGTCGTCGTCATACCCCCCCCCCCGACCTTCAAGTATGAATGCATTTTAAGATATCAACTATGGCTGCACCCAATCACAGTCCTACAAACCGCTACGCCAGCCTCAGCCAGGATACACTTTACTTATGTTTATTAGCTTCTATGACCAAGGGTCTTAAGCTCAATTATAAAAGATGAATATGCAACATTAGCCTCATAATACGAACTTTACAATAAAAGTTTACAGTCGAAGTAATCAAATCTAAAAGATCTAAAATGTTAAAGCAGAAGTCATTAATAAAACTATAATTGATTTAAATATTCATTTAAATCATAATAACTGGGTGCATACCAAATTCTGTTCCAGTTGGGCCAAGCCAGATTTTTGTCACTTTACAGATAAAACTATCATTAAAAATTTAGTAACAGAATAAGTGGTTTCAGGATTAGTATCTGCCAACAGATAGGGGACCACCCAGAGTTCAGTAGGTAATCGGTATTTGGTATGAACTGGAGTGATCCTAATCGATCTAGGAATCGACCACTGATTACATAATAATAGAAGATGGCCGAGTGTTTCCACAGCTCCAGTCTCACAGTTACATAAGCGATCCGAGTATGGGACTTTAGAAAAGCGACCTGTTAACTCAGCAGTGGGAAAAGAGTTAAGCATAGCAAGAGTGAAAACACGTCTATAACTAGGTATTTTTAGGGATCTAGTATATGGAGGAAGAGATTCCGGAGGAGGAATACCCAAGGCAAGAGTAGAACATACATGTCTTGCTCAAGCTAAAGTACTAGCCTGATCAAGATTAATCACCTTTATTCTGGTCTGCTTCAGGGCTTAGCCAGGATACATATGGCATGGGGATAGATCACTCTGGTGAGTGTCCTGCACACATGAAGCATGAACTGGGAAACATTGGTAACAGAGACCCCGCAGAAAGAGCACACTGTGCGTCAACACTACACATCTAACACTACTGCGCTTGAGACCTTAAAGTAGTCCATCTCTTTTATTTTTTTTGTATTTTTTCGTGAGTGTGCATGCACCTGGAAGTCATGGTGACCTCTGGTGACTGACCCCTACTGGGGGCCTGGAGGATATTCAGAGAGGTGGCTGAATAAAGCCTGCCCTCACCTCCCAACTGCTGGTATTTCAATGATTCCAATTACTTGCCAGAGTCGACCCTGCTTAGCTTCTGAGATCTGACGAGATTGGGCTTGCCTGGGCTATCCAAGTCAGGAAAGTAGTCCATCTCAAGACACACTCACCTCACCCAATGGAGTGGGGGCAAGGACAATGCATCCTACACAGGTAAGAAAGGGAAGGGGGTCCCTGCTTCAACAAAGACTGCCACAACAGTTTGTCTTTGTCCTCCTCCATACCTAATGTGTGTACTGCCTCAACACCCCCCCCCTCCATGAGGGCGCCGATCCCAGTGTCACAGGGAAGTAGCTACATCATCATACACCAGATGGCAGTCTCTGCCTGCCTGTCACAGCAGTGTTTGCATGCCACCCTCTGCTTGGTGAAGCAACCCGAGCTGCAGTGTTAGGAGAGTCTAGTAACAAATAAATATACACTGCAAAAACCTTTTAGCAAACTAATCTATATATCTAATAGCCACGTCGCCCCCTGGTGTGCGGATACTTATTTCCGCACATCGGGGGCACCTGGGGGGGGGAGGGGGATTTTTGTGCACACTTGGGATGGTCCCCAGGTGTGCACAAAAATCTTAAAACCTGAAAAAAAAATCGGGGGGAAACTGAAATCCCCCCAAAAGTCACAGAGCGTCCCCTGCGCATGCGCAGGGAACGCTCTGCGAACTGCCTTGGTTCGGGGGGGAGCGAGCGACCGGTGAGGCCCAGCGGCTGCAAGGAAGAGACTGCTGAGGCCCAGTGGCTGTAAGCCGCGCGGGCCTTGCTTCAGAGGGGGGGAAAAGAGAGAGATAGAGAGAGACTGGGGGGTGGGAGAGAACGGGGGGAAGAGAGAGACTGGGGGAGGCCGGCAAGCCGGGGGCGGTAGTTGAGGGGGGGTGCAGGAGACGGGGGAACCGACGGGAGGGGGGGAAGCTTACCTGCTTCTTCCACCTCCGCTTGCTCTGTGTGGAGCTCCCCCGCGATTTTCGCGGGTCCCCTTTCTTGTGTGTTCTATTTATGGTCATTATTTAGTAAAGTGCATAGTGTATCATTATTTCATCCTAGTCAGGTATAAATATTCATTACATTTAAAACACTGATGCAAAATTGTTTGGTAGTTAGGAATCTGTATGTATTGAATGTTATTGCTTACTGAATGTAATGAATACTTATACCTGACTAGGATGAAATAATGATACACTATGCACTTTACTAAATGATGACCATAAATAGAACACATTAGTTTGCTAAAAGGTTTTTGCAGTGTATATTTATTTGTCACTAGGCCCTCTGCTTGGTAGCTTGCAGGAGGCTTGCTATGAGTTCCGGGGCAATCGCTATGCTTTCCGGTGCCTAGTTGGGAGGCCTCTGCCACCTACTTCCCCCCTCTGCAGAGTGGTCATGGGATACTGACTGCATCTCTTGCAACGTGCTCTTATGATTGGGTCTGCCCACTGTGTCAGCATTACTTATTTATTCAATTTTCATACCGCCCAATTCCTGGTAAACAGGGCTCAGGGCAGTGTACAACAATTGATAAAACAACTATCTCATATTAGTTAAAACATTAAGATTACAATAAAATTTCAGTATCAATCAGATGGCGATCAGACTTTCGATTATACTACCACCTTGCAGGTGGGAAGGGGTAAGTGTCAGCCGGACGGATGCCATCGCTGTCCTCAACCGGACGCCTGGCAGAACATCTCTGCTTTACAGGCCCTGCAGAACTGCGTCAAGTCCTGTAGGGCGTGGATGTTACTAGGCAGAGGGTTCCACCAGGTTGGGGCCAGGGCACTAAGAAGACAGCCAGATGTCAATCAATCAATCAATTTATTGTAGCAGTCAATGACCAGCAGTACAGTACAGATTAAATTTTTTTAGCAGTGATAAAAAGAGATACGATTGAATCTTAGAAACATAATAAAATCATGCTGGCATATGGGATTTTCGATGCTTATAAACCTGAGCACAGAATTTAGCCACCTGACGAGTAGTCTGGTGATAATCAAGCTTGGTTTTATTTGATCTCCCAGGAAAGCTTTCTAGCAACGGGCTAATACTTTCCAATCAGACCTCTGTAAAATTAGGACAGTTTAAAAAAAAAAACGTGTTCGATAGAATCAATTTCACCCAGGGAGCAAGAAAAGAGCCTTAAGGAATAAGGGATTGCTTTAAACCTCCCTTCCAGCACTGCCGAGGGCAAAGTCGAACTTCTGGCCAAACAGCCATATGTCTCTCGGGCCGGGGACCACAAGTAAGTTCTTATCAGTGAAGCGTAGTGCATCCTACATCCACTTGCAGCACATCACCACAAACCATTCAAAGGAGGATGGGGAAGGAGCTCCCGTCCGCCAGGCTCTGCGCACCCAACAAGGGCTATCCTGGCTGCTTGATCAGGCATGATAAGACTTGCAAACGGCTGCAAGCTCTGTGCCCCCTTTGCAACTCCGCACCTTTCCCTTTCCAGAGGAAAGCAGTGCTCTTACCGGATCCTGGCTGCCACATCCTGGGGAGTATCCACTTCATCTGGAAACATCTCTTCCTGTCTCTCCCGCTGGTACTTCTCCAGCACCGCCTCCTCTTCCTCCATCTTCTCAACATCCTCTGGCAGCACCATGGACTCACACTCTTCATCCTCTGTAGCTGTCTCCTCCTCCTCGTCACTGCTGCTCCCATCCTGGGACACAAAAACAGTAACAGGGAGTGTACAGGGTCAGCTGGCACAGAATAGAGGGCCATCCCATGCTGACGGCCAGGACAGAACTCCGGTCTCCTGCAAAGCCTCCCCTGTACTGCTGTGGCCTTTCCAAGGAAGGCTCTTCTGTGATGTCCCGCCACCACTTCGCTTTCTCTCAGGGCCCTTCCCCCAGTTGTGCTATCAATAGGAGTCATCTGCAGCACCCAGGGCAATGCCTCCTAGGCTTGGGGATGGTACCTAACCAAGCTAACATCTGCCGCCTTCCCAGAGTTGGGAGCTTTGAGCGCTGGAAATTGAGTTTGTAGGCGTGGGTAAGCAAACCAAAATGATCTAGTGAACAGGATTCTCTACCATTCTTTGCGGAACAATTGTATTTTGTGTGACCTTGCTGACTGCTTTGTCTTGTATGCTTTCTGATAGCTTCAATATAAGTCCAGTCTTGAGAAAGGATTACCGAAAAGTTTGTGTAACCGGTACATCTTTGACTGTTTTATTTGTATCTTGGACTATAAATATACCTACAAGCAAGAATCTTGTGTTGATAATTTGTTCGGAAGCAGAAGGGGTCAGACGGCCGAACTGGGGGTGTTTTCCCTTTAAGAACGGCCTGGCAGAGAAACGGCATTTTTTTCTCCAGTGTTAAGTGAATGACTGCCTTCCCAGAGCAGCACACTTGATTTGTGCCATGCCTCCAAGTTGGTTCGTCACAGGTCGTGCTTCTCCCTTGCTTTGTGCTCTCCTCGCCTCTAAAGCCCCCCCAGACAGCAATCGCAGCCACCTGACGACCTGCACACATTCTCGCCAGGCAGCCCTGAAACCAGCAGTTGTTTTCATCCACCAGTTCTGTTACCTGGGAGATGGCCTCTTCCATAGATGTCTCTTCCTCCATCCCATTTGCCTCATCAAGCTCTTCGTCATCACTGCCGCTCTCACCTTCTCTCTCATCTACAATCCAGGTAGCCTGGTAGGCAGAAGTGCCTTTGGGGACCCTCCTGGAGATCTTCTTGGTCTGCTTGAGGGATTCTAAAGGGGTATGGGGAAAGGCCAGTCAATATCAAACACAGAACACTCACCCATCAGGGCCAAGCCTCCTCTTTAACAGCAAAGAAGCAGAGCTAAGCCCTGGACCTACAGCATGGTAGGCTGCGTTCCCAAAAGGATGCAATACAAGTAGACATCCACAGACTTAAATGCCAGATCCAGAAGAATACTAATGCCTTGCATGGCACATGTATTGCTTCCACTTGCTATCGGGAAGCCTTGGGGGAGAGTTGGGGGAGACACACACACAGACACCATGTCCCCAAATAGCACAGAGTTGGCCAAAACAGAAAAGGGAAGAGAACAGAGAAGGGTCATCCCTCCCAGCCACCCAGACTTCACCTGCTGCCTCACTCAGCTCTTCTTCGGTGGGCCAAGTCTGCTCTCCATCCATGGGATCAGGGACAATCTCTGACTGCAGCGACTCCTGCTTGCTAGGATCAGCCCTCATTAAGACCTGCACATCTTCCTCCATCTCAGCCACTTTGCTGAAAGTGTTGTCCTAGGAAGCAAGAGACAGAAGCACCAGTGTTGCCACTCGTGGGCCAGAGGAAGGACTTTTCTAACTCACTGTTGGTGGCAGTTCTCCTCTGAACTTTCAGACACCTAACTCCTCCCTCGGTCACAGCCTCCCAGCAAGGGAACAGAACCCACCCGTACCTGCACACCTTTGCCTCTTCTAGGTTGCCCTTTAGCAGCTCTCAGGTTCTGTCCAAATGGCTCTGGGGTGGCATCCACCTGGCTCATCTGAAAGTCCCCGTGGCCCACGATATGCACCAAACGGTTTACGTTCAGGCTCCGCCCTCTCACGTAGCCAGACACTTTCAGAGTCCCCACCAAAGCACTGCCTGGCCCAGGAACAAATTCCACAGCTTCAGCCAGCAGGTGCGCTCGCCGGTCCCGGAATGCCAGGTGCCGCTGTTTCTGGGTGGCGAGGTGATGCAGCAGGAGCACAGACTCCTGCTCTGTGTTGAGGGGGAAGAGCTTGGCCTCGGGGAACCTCTTCTCAGTAATCTTCCTCAGTTTTTTCTGCAAGTCAATTTGCTTCTTCAGCGGTTGGTCAGCAAGACCTTGAACAGCAAGGCCTACAGGCAGCACAAAGGAGACAAGTTTGAGCCTTGACAAAGCAGCACTGAAGCCAAGGACACCTCGGTATGGCAGAAAATGCCCACAAAAGCTAACACTCTCACAGTGCTCCTTAGAAGTCCACTACCTTCCCTTCTAATCATTCTGCATAAGACAACCAGTATAAAACAAGAACAGTCATGTTAGATCAGACCAAGTACTGCATGTAGCCTCTTGCTTTTATTCCAGACGAGCCAAATTGGAAGTGCATAAACTGGTCTACTCTGTCTTCACTGTTTGGTGTTCAGAGCTATAGTGCCTCTGAATATGTTAGTTTTATTTAGCACTATTGGTGTAGAGCCAGCAATAGGCCTACTCCTCATAAAGGCCACTAACAAGTCTTTGGAGCTTTCCCAATTTGTCATAACTGCCCATCAAAAAGTCTACGCTGCAGGTGTTCTTCCTGGTCATCAAGGCTGACCCACCCTATTACATGCTACAAGCAATCCATGTTAACCAAAGCTCGCTAACCAATAAACTGGGAGGAGGGTTTTTTGGCTACACTCACCATAGCTGGGGAGCCCCTGTGCAAAGATGCAGGAAAGGCAGTAGTTGCCAACAGCATCCCAGCCTTCAAGTGGATCCAGCACAAAAAGAAGGGTGTCAGCGACTTTAGCGAGGTCCAGAACAGCAAAAAGGTTCCCTAGAGAAATAAAAAATGCACTAATGATTGAGCATACCCCAAGTATGTCTGTGAACAGCTGAAACGGTCTTTGAAGGCATCCTCACCTCTGTCAGCTACCACAAATTGCCATCGCAACTTAGATCGCGGGCACAGCAAGACAAAACCCGGAAGACCCCTCTCGGCCTGGTGCACAACAGAAGCCTCGCTGCTCTGAAACTGCCGCAAGACACTTTGGCTGTCAACATTAGCGTGTAGTGGGACCACAGCCACCAGGTGTGGTGGCGCATCCTTGTGGCCTAAGTTTCGCTTCTCTGCCAGCACCTGCGATCACAAGGAGAGAGAAAAAATGAGTCCTCTTCGCCCTTCCTCAAAGCAGCTTTAGCTCCCCTTGCCTTCTGTGCCCATGGCTAAGCTCACCGCCTCCTTGGACCGCTGACGGAGCTGCAGTGCCCGATGCTTGCGATCCAACTTGGCCAAGTTGCGGCGCTTTTGAGAGCTGAGAGTTTTGACAGACACCCCAACTAGGGAAGAAATAAAGCAGCTCAATACAGACTTATGCTGAACCAGAATATACATGTGCAGGCACACATTTGAAGACAGAAAATGCCATTTCAAAGCCATACAACTTTTCTGCCTTTTCCCCAAAAGGACTATTGAGAGACTTCACAGAACTACTGAACATGCTTGCATAACTGGGGCCCATGTCAGTCTGATGACCCTCTTCGTGAGTCTAAAAGCCCTTTACAAAACTTGATTGCAAGTTAGACAGGGAAACCTCCTTTTAGAGAAAGGGGGTGGGGGAGCAGCTTCATCGCTGTACCAAACTGAAAACCCCCCTGCCCCCGATCTTCTAGACACTCATAAAGTTGGGGCCACCGTTTTTTTTCATTTTGTTAGGCAAAATTTCTTTTTGTGGGACACCCATTATGCTTATAAAAAGAATAAATAACTGGGGATTTTGAGAATGGAGCCTGAGGAGCATGGGGTTTGGGGAGGGACTTCAATGGGATATAAGGCCATAGAGTCCACCTGGAGATCAGGTGTAATGCCAGGGGATCTCCAGCAACCACCTGGAGATTGGCAATCCCAGGAGAGAGAGATTGGCTTCCCCCACCATCAACCCCCCTGCGATGGAAAGTTATGGGGGAGAGAGAGAGATGGACTTCCCCACCACCATCACCATGCATTCTCTCTCTCTTTCCTTACTCAGCCCCCCCTCCTGGTTTCATTCCTGGAGGAACAGCTGATAAGTGTGGCTCAAGTGGTTAAGACGCTGAACTGCTGACCGGAAGGTCAGAAGTTCAGCAGTTTGAGACCTGAGTGCCGCATGACGGAGTGAGCTCCTATCTCTGGTTCCAGCTCCTGCCAACCTAGCAGTTCGAAAGCAAGAAATTGCAAGTAGGTAAATAGGTACCGCTTTGGTGGGAAGGGAACAGCGTTCCGTGCGCCTTGGCGTTTAGTCATGCCGGCCACATGACCACGGAAACGTCTTCGGACAGCGCTGGCTCTTCGGCTTGGAAACGGAGATGAGCACCGCAACCGTAGAATCGGACTCGACTGGCTTTCGAGCAAGGGAACCTTTACCTTTAAGAGGGGACTGATATTGACCAAAAGCAACAGGGCAGCTTTCCTTTCGTTCCCCAGCATCCCGGCAGCGGTGGAGCACCCGTTATGCTTGGCGCCAACCGTGGTCCGTCTTTGCCACCCTCCGGGCCTCGACTAGCTCTGCACGGAGAGGCCCCATCATCTCCCCCCCTTCAGCGGCCCCAGCCTTCCCCCGGGAAAGGAGAAGCGAGAAGACACCGCTTGCACGCCCCACACATACACCCCACGGCGCGCTCACCGGCATGCCTTCGGGCGCTGTTCCGGCGGTGCCTGCCAGCTTTGTGCGGTTTGTTCTGCTGCTTCAGAGCCCCGGCCCGGTGGGCGCCGGCGCCGCCCGCCTTCGGGACAGCCATGCTTCGCTCACAGGCCTTGCCTACACTTCCGGGTCACGAACCGGAAGGAGCCGCTGAACGCGGCAGGTGGTCCCGCGGGCGGAATTTCCTAGCGGCTCAGGCCACCCCTTGGCTGCCTCTTCGTTCGCGCCCTGAAAAGCAGGTGGAGCGGGGCACTGAGTGGCAGAGCGGCCTTATGTAGTCCGGCCAGACGGCCCCAGAAAGGCCACAAGCAGGGCAAGGAGGCCGAAGCTGAAGACTTTGGCAGCCCCGGCATGGACGCCTCGCCCTCACATCCCCTCGGTGTGTGTGCGGGGGTTGCCCTCCAACCTCTCTGCGCTGCCCCAGCTCCAACTGCCAGGTGGGACCTGTAGATCTCCCGAAATGATAACTGGTCTTCAGACTAGAGATCAGCTCCCTTGTAGAAGATTGCAGCTTCTGAAGGCAAACTTTATGGTATTCTAGTACCCCAGTGAGGTCCATCCACAGGTTGCACCCCCATATCTCCGGGAATTCCCTAACCGGGAGTTGGCAACCTTACACACAGTCCTGCTCTCCTTTTGCTCCCCTCAGGTGGCTCCCTCTTTTCAATCTTGTTGCTGCTACTTCAGTCTAGAATTCCTTCACAGGAGATCTATACCATTTATGTTGAATTCCTCCTCAAACACCACCTTATCCATGAAGTCCCCTCATGAAATGAAACCTAACGATTCATGTAACAGAATTCATGCTCTCCCACCTCATGTGACCAATGCTCCCTCTAAGCTGTGGAGTCTTGTGAGCAAAAATTCTACCTTGTGAGTTACTGGCATTAAAGAGAGCGAGTGATTTGGCTGCTGCATACATTAGTTTGCTCTGGAGCCCTCCTTCCTGAGCTAAGACAAAAATGTGTGAGCTGGGAGGCTAAAAAACTGTGAGCTAGCTCACACTAACGCAGCTTAGAGGGAACACTGCATGTGAAACACATATAAAGTTGCCTTATACTAAATCAGACCCTTGATTCATGTCAGTATAATCTACTCAGGCTGCGGTCACACGGAGCATTAGCCACGCTACAGAGACGGAAGATAGGCGGATTTTCCGGGCGCGATCACACCGCAACATCCGGGAAGCGTATAGCTCCCGTGGCGACCCCGAGGCTTCCCGCCGAAGATGTGGCTTAAAAAAATAGTACCTCCGAGGTACTAGTTTCCGGAAACCGCGGGGCAAGGGCGGGCATCAGATCGTGTTTCCGGTTCACACTTTTTTGTCTCAGCTCAGGAAGGGGTGTGGCTCCACAGCAAACTGATTGATGCAGCAGCCAAATGGCTCGCTCACCACTTTAATGCCAGGAGGCAGGAGCTCACCGGATTTTTGCTCACAAGACTCTGCAACGTAGAGGGCGCATTGGTGGCCACCCTAGGACGGCCATGGCTTGGCACGACGACGCTCCCTATCTCCCGCGGTGCATGGCTTACTTCTAAGGAGACCTGGGGGGGGGGGCCTTTGCTCGGCCTGTTCGAAAGGAACTCTCTGCACCGGGCGGCAGAGGGGGAGGTGCAGGGGGGGGCGTGGAGGGAGGGCGGCCCGGCTGAAGCTCCTCCTGGAGGGGACCAGACGGAGGACACAGTTTGCATTCCTCTGCAGCAGGAAGGGGTTAAACCCGTGTGATTGGCACCTCCCCCCTAAGCACGGGACCTCGCCGGGACGTCTGATTGCGCAGCGTGCGTTATTTTGCTCCGGGGCAAACAGCCACGCTCCCCCCCCCCGCGCATTTTCCGGCCCGTGGGACCAGAGCCTCAGGCTGGCAGTGGCTCTCAAGGGTCTTTCACATTACCTACTGCTTGGTCCTTTTTAACTGGAGACCCTGGGGATTGAACCAGTGTACTTCTGCATGCAGAACAGATGTATTACCACTGAGCCACACCATACAGGAATTTAAAGCTACCTCAGGCCAGTGAGAGCAGCCAGTATCTCCATTCACACCCGAGGACCTCCTTCACACATGTTTTAGATTCAGCATATGAGAGATGTCTCTGAAAAGCACTTGCACATTGGCACACCACAAAGAAAGAAATGGAATGAAGCCTTCAACACATGTTCACAGAATCCGTTTTCTTATCACAGTGGCCAAACCATACCTGTTCTTCAATCAGTGGCCAAACCATACCTGTTCTTCAATCAGTTCAATCTGGTGGTCAGAGGAATCCGTAATATCAAGGCACGCAGGTTACTTCAACCACATTTATTGAAAGCGATCTTTTTTACAGTTATTTACATTATGAAGCCAGACTCTGCAAAAACCTCAGAGCTCCAATGTACTGTACGAGGGCTTGCCCCTTCCAGGGAAAATGGCCCACAAGAAGCATCTGAGAAAGCAACATACTCCCAGACCCACTCCCAAAGAGCCCTTCCCCATAGCTTTCCTTCTACAAATGCTCCCCCATTCCCACTGCTACCTTGCTCAATGACCAGAAACAAGATTAAGGAGAACACTTTCCCAGATGTGTAGTGTGCTACTCTTCCAATTCTGAAACCCAGCTTGTTTGGTGGTTCTTTGTTTTTTAAGGGCTACTGGCAGACACAGCAGCAGAGTGGAAACCTGGGGCGGAGGAACAGTGTTGCTACAGCCAACTTGCACCACTGGGCAACGCCCTTGCCTGTTACAGCCACTTTGGCATTTGCAGTAGCTGCAACAGAATCAACAAAGAAACAGCTACATTGTTGGAGGTATCTGAATTGGACTGCTTGAAAAAATATGTAATCTGGTAAGGAAAGGACTAGCTGAAGGCGCTCATCTCTTGCAAACCCAGCTCATCTGGCTCTCTGCTTACTTAGAGGCCAAACCACTGCTTGTGTTGTGAGCATCTTCTGTCTTTGCATCTTAAAGCAACTGCCCTTCCCCTAGATGGCACCATCCTGCCTTTTCCAGGAACCCACCAAACGGGTGAGAGGGAAACAGTAACTCTGCACCTAGGGAGAGAACTCTGCCTTAGCAGCAAGACACTGTGCAACAGCAAACTGCCCCACACACATTGTATTCCAGTTTGTCTTAATCTCAACTCCTGCCTTATGTATTAAACTCCAAGTTATGCCCTATCTAAGGAGGCAAAAGCCAGTGAATGGACTGATACAACACTGAGACAGGAGATGCCACACACTGACCCAGAGCTACCAAAGCAAGTGGCCCAGAGCTACCAAAGCAAGGTCAGGAGCTGACAGGGCCAGTCACTCTGGAAAAGAACCAACCGTCAATATTCCAGCAGGAGGAACAACCCACCCAAAGTACCAGGGGACAACAGGCAAACACCCAACCAGGGGACAACAGCTAAAGTACCAGATGGGATGGAGCGGGGGGAGGGGAGTATTTCCCCACTCCTATCGCCCCGCCCCCCCGCCTCCAGCTTTGTGATGTGAGACAACTTCTGCCAGAGTGGGAGGAAGCTAGGAATGTTTTGGGACTAGGAAGGAAAATTGTCCTACAGCTGGGGAGGATGTCTTCTGGGGGGGGGGGGGGAGGATCACATTCCCAATGGTTCACAGCCAGCAGACCTTTAGGGGCTCTGTCAGCAGCAGCCTGGTTGACTAGGTACCCCAGCTTGCACTCTTACAGAGGTACTAAAAGGTGCAAAAAGGGTTAATGGTGCCAAGTAGCCCCAGTGGGTCAGATTTAAACGCTCCCAATGCTTCACCTCCCCACCCGGCCCATTCATCTCTCAGCAGCTGGTCAAAGAAAAAAAAACAAGGGGAGGGGAGAATCAAAATGTTTTTAAAAACAATCCATTTCAGCCTTTGAAAGGGGGTGGGTGTCCTAGGGTGTCTGGTTTCCTGAGGATTGCTCTACCAGTGGAGACCAGAAGGAGGCGTCTTCTCATCCTTGTTGCTTTCCAGAGAGAAGGGTGGGATTCGGACATCGAAGTGAGAGCCATCGGGCCGTTCAAAGCGGAAAGTGCCCCTAGGAAGCCAAGCAGAAACCAGAGTGAAGGACTGGCAGTTTATATTTGTAAATATTCAAGAAACCAAGGGGAGCCGCAGCAACAGAGATGATCTCTCCCGCCTCAAAACACCTCTTCCTTTTCACATTCTGAGAAAGAATGTGGAAATTTTCTCTCTCCTGACCACAGTGAGTCTTAATGGCAGGTGCCAGTGATTCTTAGCAACTTGATGATATGGAGGAGAAAGAAGGAAAGTTGCTCTTCCTGTGGACCCAAGGCACCAAAGAGCCAGCCCTGATCATATGCTCCCATCCCCCACCCCCCGGGAGGCTTATCTCCCAGGAAGCCTGCTTCCCACAGTTCCTAGGGGCTCTCTGGGGGAGGGGGGGGTATTCTCATTCACAAGTTCCTTACCACATGTGGCCACTGGATGCCTGTAAGGAGACATGGCTGCTGTACTGGAACGCTGGCTGCTCTTTGGACAGGACTGGCTCCTGTGGAGACAAAGCACAATCACAGCTGGGCAGAATGGATGGACACCACCTGGGAGCTTCCTGCCAACAGGCACGAGACACTGCTTTCAATCATCACCCTGCCCTCTCCACAGCCTCCCCAAAGCACAGAGGTCACTGCATGTATGAACAAATCCATTTCAAACCCTCGAAGGAGTTAAAAACAGTCCCTGCTAAGGAAGCCCCTGAGGGCTGCCAGGGCTTGGCTGATAATGAGAGGCACCAAGATACCGGCTGAGCCCTTACAAGGGGAGGAGGCCCTCTCCTTGCCACAGACAATCTGCTCTCTCTCACACTTACTCGGCCCACTACACCCCGACCACGAACAGTCTCCAGTGTGCCGGACAAGCTGAATATCCGCCAGTGCCTTTCACGGAGCTGCACTACTTCGTTGTCCAGATTCTCCAGGCGGATACAGTAGCGCCACTGAAAGACGGAGAGGGAGGGAGGGGAATCACTATGGGAACCAGAGCCAAGGCTTCCCAGTGCAATGGCGGGGTGATGCTCGGGAGTCCTTTAAGGGAAGTGTCCTTCCCTGCTCCCCTTGGCCTGAGGTCACCACAGAAAGATTGTTAAGCAAGAAACTCACCCAGTAGACATGGGAATTCTGGGCTTCCTGTAAAGAGAAAGGACTTTTGTCATACATGAATACCCAGGCCAGAATTCCTCAGCAGCTGAGACAAGGACTACCCCAGGCAGACTACGCTACACCCGAGGGACTCGCAAATCCCACATCTGTAAGGAGACATGCAGGAAATTAGTCTCTAGCCAGAACTGCAAAATTAGTCTCTAGCCAGAACTCCATGTACAGCACCTGAATGCCAGTAACAAGGAACCAATATGCTTCCAAGGTCACATACTGCCCTGTGAGAATCTCAGACTGTTACAAGCAAGACAGTCCTTATCTTCTTGCAACCTTTGGCCAGGTAAGGGAAGATTCACTGCAGGCTCTCTGGCAGTGCAAGGAGACACAAAAATCCGTTTGAGCCCATCATTTTGCCAGCCTTGTCAGCCTGCCCAAACTGGAAACAGGCCAGTACCTTTAACCTCTCAGCAGCTGCAAAGTCTGCAAGAAGCTCTCCTCCCCATAATGCCTTTGCAAGCTAACTCTACCACCTGGCTGTGCCAGAGTGTTGGGTCCATGGCTGATAAGTTTGACGTGTCTTCAGTCTCAAATATATAAACTTTTATAATGAAGCCTGGAAGAAGAACCAACTGGTGTCAAGCCCAGCACTTACTCGCATGCCCATGTAGAAAGGGATGACCGTGACACGGATATTTTCAGTGGTTTCCCGGTGCACATCGGAGAGTTCCAGCCAGGGATGGTTTTTCTCCTGCCAAGCACACAGTGTATCCCTTGCCACAAAGGCTGGAACTGCAAAGGGTGTCCCAAGGAAAACTACAGTTCAGTATAGAAGATGTTATGGCATCCTGGAGACCCTCCCCCATGGGCATGACATCTATCTTCTAAACCAGGCATGTCCAACTTCAAACAGGTAGTGATCTATTTTTTCTGGCCAAAAGTGCCGGTGATCTACCACCATGAAAATAAAGTTTCAAATTACTTTCAAATTAGATTTTAACCCAATAAAGTTGGGTTCCACTGCACCCCCCCCCTTTTATAATGCACCTTCTGTCATTTACTGGTAAGCAAAATTAGCAAAAACAAAACAGAGAGACGAAGATCCAGAAAGAACTGCGAACATTTTTTATTTTATACCAGGAGACCAAGTGGGGCTGGTGATCTACCTCTGACCCCAATGTACTGGTAGATCACGAGCTACCTGTTGAACATACCTGTTCTAAACAGTGCAAGAGACTTTCAGCTGCTGTAAAGCTACTCTGCAAGGGTTTGCTATTCTGTCCTCCTCCAGTGGAAGAGGGTATCTCCTCCAGGGCAGGGTGGGGGACTAAGAGTTCCCCTCTTGGTTCTCATCTTTCCTTCACCAGTTTTTTATTACAATGTCTCTAGGAGGCAGCACCTGCAGAGCTGGGACTTGGGGCTCAGCTTCTATCACTGCCTAGCACTATGCTGCATGTGAGCACAGCATCTTAACAGCAAATGTATCCAGAAAAACCCACCGAGGAAAAGACGGGGGGGCATCCCAATATCCTTTTCCAGGATATTTCCCTCCCCCCATTAAAAGGATATGGAACACAGGCCCTGCCCTGCAGTGAGTGTTCCATCTCTTCAGGAGAAAACGAAGACATTCTGTCTTTTGGGGGCTTTTTTTTGGGGGGGGCAGCATTTTCTTTATTCTTCCCTCCAGGGCTAAAGTCAGCTTTATGCCAAGAAAAGCCCTTACACTCTTGTCCTCTTGCTTTAGGTCAATTTTTGGCATAAAGTTAGCTGGCCAATTTTCAGAGCACCACAAGGACATTTCAAAGTCCCTGCGAGAAGAAAGAGGAAGTCTGCCCAGTTAGCCCTGCCTCCAGAAGCCACGGGGGGGGAGCTACCCCCTTCTTCCTGGAACGCACTGACAGCGTGTCCAGTGTCCTGTTGCTTTGGATCTCCACAGCTTTCCCCAGAGCAAGGACTTACCTTTTGTCTGATCATACAGGAGGAACCGTTCAAACAGCTCATGCTGGATGGGCACTTGATCCGTGGATGTGTATGGAAGGATGTCTTCATGGCTTACATAGTCAAGTCCTGGGAGAAAAGCAGATCACACAAAAAATAAATAAATAAATAAAAATAAACCTGTGTTTGATAACATAATCCACAGCATAATCTCATACAAAACCAATTCCCAGTTTGAGATTACTGTGGACTTGCACACCTGCACAAGAATCTTCTCTTACACAAGAATCTTCAGACTTGTTTCTACTTTCCTGTAAACCTATACCATGGAGGACAGATGGGTGTCCCTGAAAACAGCAGCTCTTTGTCTTGCAAACTTGGGGCTTCCTTCACGTTTGTAGAGAAATACCCCCCACATTGTCCTAGCTCCATTTTGCAGATCTATTGATCCACAATCTACAGCTTGGTTTGGGAGTATATATACATAACGTTTTATGATACAGTGCCTTCAGGTATTTCATACTCAGCTACCCAGATCACATTATATTCATGTTATCAATGTCACTCTCCAAATAACATTGGAATTATTTACCTCTTGTGTTTTAGAGACCTTTAATGTTCAGTGGTAGTGGTTAGGATCTTATTAAATTGTACAGGTCTGGATCATTGATTGAGCTCCTGGAGCAGGCCCATAGCCATGGTGGGGGCATTTGGGGCAGAGCCCCACTAGGGATGAGCCCTGCCCCATCCCGGATGTCAGGGGGGGCCCACCACCACTGCACAGCGCTTCTTACTGCTACCTCTCTGCAGCCTTACTGGCTCTTCCAGGGAAGCTGCCCTGCCGCTTCTGGTCAGTTTTACTCCCCCTGATCAGCTGTTAGATTTAACAGCTGATGTCAGAAGTGAAACTGACCAGAAGCAGCAGGGGGGGTTCCCTTTCCTTCCCCAGCCTCTGCCCCCCTGGGAGGGAAGGCCCCTAAGTGACCTTCCCCAGGAACTAATCTAATCAAATTAGTAATCTGATTAAGTTCCCCGCTCCCCGGCCCCACCAACCAAAATTTTCTGGCTATGGGGCTGTCCTGGAGACAGCTTGAGGGAGCAGAAGCTTAAGCTAAAAGTGCAGAGGCACATCCCTGAGGCCCTCGTACCCAAAATGGCCACTTACCTGGTATTGCATAGAGGGCTCTGCTATCATCATGGTTTGCTAAGAAAGTCACAGCTTCTGTCTGAGATCTCTGGGACTGAGGAACAAAAATGAGAACAGTGTTTACAAGGGACAAAACAGTCTTTGCTTATCTAACAGAAGAGTCTTTGATTAGCTAGTAATGGGCCGTATATCTCTCATGGTCTGGGTAGTATTGCTGACGTATATGAGTGGAATGTGCGATTGTAACTATATGCACCTTTCCCGCCTTCATACCCCAGTTCTGACAAGGAGTTCATTCTCTGAACGTCTCATATCTTCTAATAAAACTTTCAACCAAGAAAGTGTGTGTGAAGAGTGACTTGACTGGGACTCTGACAGATTTCAGCCCCTTGGCAAAGATTTTTTTTGTCCATGATCACACCAGTGCCACTCCCATCTCTGTCCCATAACTCACGCAGTAGCAACTATTATTTTTTAATTGAATTCGATATTAAAAATGAATACACCATTCATAACAAGGGCACCAAAGAGTCTAACCAAAAAGGAACGTGGTCCAAAGGGGCAGGAGGGGGTAGAATTCTGAAGACTTCTCACAAGTACTTTCTGCAGATTGGGCAACTGAGTATTTCTATCCTGTAAGTGTACAGGACGGTTCACAAATAAACAAAAAATTACACCCACCCAAACCAGTCATATTTCCTAAAAGAAGTCACAGGGTATATCAATTAAATCAGAGACAGAGAAGGAGGAAACTCCTAGCAGAAAAGCAACCCCTCAACCATCTGTTCAAACCATCGCAAAATGTCAGCTCGGTAGAAGAGAAGTACTCACTATATGGGGGCAGTCACGAGCATCTATGAGCACTTGGTAGTAGGTATGTGTCTTCCCCTTCACTTCTTTGGATCCATGGCCAGCTGAATTCTCACCCCTGAGCAGAAAGACACCACAGCTGACAGGCTTCCCTGTGGATGCCCCTACAGCAGCCAGCTTCCTTTTCAAACTGTATGGCAAGTGGGGCCAGACAGTCACTGGGTGGCAAAGAGCAGTGGCTCCACTTTTCTAGCAAAAGCGCCCTCTTTCTAAGAAGCTTCAGCTTCTCTCCTGAAAATGAGGTCTTCACCCACATTAATCCCACATCCCCCAAAATATGTAGGCCAGATGTTCTGCTGACAGCACACCACTGTATCGCCTGGGTGGACCCTCAGACCGCACGCTTTGTCATCAGCAGGGCTGGTGAGCAAGTCCAAAATGCAAGACAAGCAGACCTTATGAAACTGAATAGCATCTTGCCTTTTCATTTGAAACAGGAGGTGGAAAATAACCACAGTACAAAGCCACCCCAAAAATCTTAATAAAACTCAATAACTGTCATACACCTTAAAACAATGTACACCACTGAAAATTTTTAAAACTCATCAGCTGCTAAGAGTATATACATGCTTTCCCCCTACATTAAATAGGCATTTAATATATCCTACTTGTTATTTGTCAAGGTTTCGTTCTAAATGGTCCACTGAATAAACATTTTTGACCTCATGCCAACTGAGCATCTGCACAACTGTGGCAGCGTAAGCTGCCTTCCCCACTCTCTCCTCAAAGTTTCTACACTTTTGCAGAATTAAAGTACATTGATGCATCTAACCCTTCCCCCAACACTTACTTTTCAGGCACAGGAGAAGTAACGTCTCGATCGTACAACCTAGCTTGCCAAGGAAACAGAACTATTCCCCGGTATCCAAATACACTGTGGAGGAATAACTGAAAGAGAGGGGGGGAGGGTCAGGGCAAGGTACACAGAAACCCCATGTGTTTCTGCTGCATGAAAAGAAAATCCAACATAGGTAAGGAGAAAGAAGACAGCTTCAGTGAAGTTTGCAAAGCAGCCCATGCAAGTAGTCCTCAAAAAGCCTCCTCGGACACTAGTCCTCAACTACTTCGGTGAATTACTGTTAGCACGTTGGTGGCACACCAAAACAACATGGTTTTGACTGATGAGACCTTCTCCACCTGACTGCTTAGAGGTAACTTTGAATTGCCACTATGATTTGTAAGTGCCTAGACACTGGCAGGGCACAGCTGAGGAGGACTTTGCCTCAAAATGCCAAGCGGGAAAGGGACAGCTAGCATCAAACAAAGGGATCCCCAGAGTACTACTAGGAATCATGGCCAGAGACCACAAATATTTGCAAGACACACATCCAGCAATACCCCCCCCCCCAATCTCATTTTGGAGTCTATTTGTTCACCACGGCCCCTTACCTGCCCAGTTTCATATTTGCCATTTTGTTTTGGCAATTCAAATACACCCACTGTCTCAAGTACTTTGCCTTCAGGACGGTTCCTGGGAGGGGGACACACAGAAAAGATACACATGAGTGTCACTAGGTGGTCAAGGAGAGAAGAGTCTGAACATCTGTTCAAGGTTCAAATACAACTTTCATTCTACTGTCCAGTCATGAACCTAGCAGGCAGCCTTCTCCCTTTTAAAGGCTCCATTCCCTCCCAAAAGAGGAGGCCATGTAGAATGAAGCCAGCTATTTAGCCACAGTTCATCACAGGGACCACTAGCTTTGATGCCTTTTTAAAAGGAGCAGGTAAATTCACCAGAAAGGCTAGGCCTATCGACAGATATCTACCACAAGAGCCAAATAGCTCCTTCAAGCTCAGAGGCACCCTAAGTGTCAGGAGCTGGTGACCAACAATATGGAGGGATGTGCCCTTTCTTCCCTGTATGCAGGTGTTCCCAGTGGGCATCTAAGTGATCACTACTGAAAGCAAGGCACTAGGCATAGCCAGGCTATTTATTTATTTATATTTATTTATTGAACTTATTAACCACCCTCCCCAGTAGGACCGGGCTTAAGTGGTGTACAACATAATCAGATAAAACATTGCATAAAACAATAAAAGGTCAGGCTAAAAAGCCCTGACCTGGATAGACCAGGCAAGCCTGATCTCATCAGATCTTGGAAGCAAAGCAGGGTCGACTCTGGCAAGTACTTGGATGGGAGACCTCCTTGAAATACCACAGGCAGAAGGTGGAGGCAGGCTTTATTCAGCCACCTTTCTGAATACCCTCCAGGCCCCCAGTAGGGGTCAGTCACCAGAGGTCGCCATGACCTCCAGGTGCACACACGCTCACACACACACATGAAAAAATACAAGACAAGGGGGAAAAATATCAGGTTAAAACAGTAAAACATCATAACCAATCTGATTAATCTAGTAACCTATTTAGCTATAGGTAAAGGTTTCCCTTGCTCGAAAGCCTGTCGCTAAAATCCTAATAGTGCCGCTGTCTCATGGGGGAAGGAGCAGGTGGGAAGAGGAGGATGGGAGTGCCAAGACAGGACCATCGCTGTCCTCAACCAAAGGCCTGGTGGAACATCTCTGCCTTGCACACTCCGCGGAATTGTAGTACATCCAGCAGGGCGCAAATGTTACTTGGCAAAGAGTTCCACCAGGTAGGAGCCAGGGCAGAGAAATCTCTGGTGCTGGTTGAGAACAGCCAGACGTTTCTCAGGCCAGGGACCACCAATAAATTCTGATCACTCAAGTGTAACATTTTTTGAGGTTATACCAAGGGAGGCGATCCTGAAGGTACATAGGTCCCTGCCAATGAAGGGCCTTAAAGGTCAACACCATAACCTTGAATCTGTTTTAGTACTCCACCAGAAACCAAAGCAGCTCACGCAACACCAGATTGATATGTGCTGTGTGCGGCAGCCCCGTAAGGACCCGGGCTGCTGCATTTTGTACCAGTTGGAGTTTCCGGGTCAGCCTCAAGGGTAGGCCCATGTACGATGAGTTACAGTAATCAAATCTGGAGGTGTCCATTGCATGGATTACAGTGCCTAGGTCAGGGCAACACAGGTACAGGGCTTAAGCCAGCAGGTGGTCCTTACACAAGAACCTTGCTGAATTAGACCACTGGTCCATCCAGTCCAGCATCCTGTCTCATACAGCTGCCAACCAGTTCCTCTAGACATCCAATAACAGGGCATGGAGGCCAAGGCCTTCCCCTGATGTTGCCTCCTGGCTCTGGGATTCAGAGGTTTAGTGCCTCTGAATGTGACAGTTCCTCAGTCATCTGGGCTAGAAGCCGGTGAATCTACCTGTTCCACTTTTAAAGCTGTCTATGCCTATAGCCATCAATACATCCTCTGACAGCAAATTCCACATTTTAATCACCCTCTGTGTAAAGTAGTATTTCCTTTTCCCCTATGTAAGCCGCCCTGAGCCCGCATTGCGGGGAGGGCGGGGTATAAATTGAATTAAATAAATAAATAAATTTTGTCTGTCCTGAGCCTACTGCCCATTAGCTTCATCAGATGCCTTCGACTTCTAGTATTTTGGGAGAGGAAGAAAAAGTTGTCAACTCTTTCCGATCCATGCAAAGTTTTATAAACCTCTATCTCTCACACACAAACCCGTTGCAGTCATAGTCCTTGGCCTACAGTTGACCAGTAGGAACGGCTTTCTTTTATAGGTTCCAAACGAAGTGCATGACAGCGGACCCCACAATTACACGAAGGAAGGGACGGTTCAGAAAAGCGCCCCCCGCCAGTCCCCAGACAATACCAACGGGGCACAGCAGCGGTCTCCGCAGGAGGCGAAGCCAGGCCACTCACCGAGAAGACAGGAAGCGCCTAGGGGCGAACCCCGCCCACAGCCCTGTCGCCCCCACCGCCGTGCGGAGACCCCCCCAGGGTAGCGAGGAAGCCGAGGCGGCCCTGGCCCGGCTTAGCGCCGCCGCTGCCAAATAGCGTCCTCGCGCGGCAGCCGCCACCGCGCAGGCCGACATCGACTTTTGCCGCCGAGCCGGTCGCGGCTCTGAAGGAACGAAGCGAGCCGGAGAGACTGCAAGGCCACAGCGGCCGTGGCCACCCACAATCCTCCGCGCGGAGCCCCCCCGGTTCCCGCCGTCCTTTGCGCGTCCGCTCTAGGCGCGGGGGGTGGGCCACAGAGACAGAGCGACTATCGCCGTGCGCGTGCGCAGTTCTTTAGTGTCCCTCCTCGGCCGCTACATGGAGAGGCAGATGGCAGGCGGGACTGGGAACCGGGGGCGGGCACAAGGCAGGAGGCAAGCCCTTTAAACTTGGCTGGAACCAGCAGAATCCAGACTGATTGCTTCCCTGGCTGACTTTCTGTAAGCATGCACAGGAATAGGGTTCCAACGTTTCGCAGTAAGCGCCTAGGCGGACCTTAAGACCCTGGCGCCAAAGGCTGCTCTCTTCTTCCTTAAGGGAGGCGAGATCCTTGCCTGCCAGAGTGTCTTCGAGCGTAGCCCCATCGTTGTGGAAGGGGCTGCCGGTTGAAGACAGGGCGATCTCTTCTCTCACCTAGTTGAGACACCAGGATGCGCCTGTATTGTTTAGGCGGGCTTCTTCCTTATTTGCTTTCAATGGTGTTTAACTTATTCATTTCCGTGATTTATAGTCCGTCTTTCTCAGTTGGACTAAAGGCGGATTACACAGAGTGAGTCACTACAATCAACAAGATGGGGCATTCAGTAAATAATACAATGGGGTCAGGGTTGTATAGAACCAGCCATAAGTCTAAAAACACAACTGAAGCAAAGCATAAGTATTAATACGACACATTAAATGATGCAAAATATTACACAGGAGGATCCTAGTTTCAGCAAGCTAAACACAGCAGTTGACTATAGTGTCTAATCATTTAGTACAGTGCAACTCTATTGCCTACACTGAAAAATCCTCTTGAATAATAATTGTGTCTAATTTTGTCTTTCTTTATTTCATTTGTAACCTGCCTATCTCCCTAGTGGGGACCAAAAGCAGCTTACATCCTTTTCTTCTCTTCCATGTTATCCTCACAACAACCCTGCGAGGTAGATTAGGCTGAGAGAGCCGTGACTGGCCCAAGGTCACCCAGCGAGCTTCCATGGCATAGTATCAGGTCTCTGAATCGCTTTTTAACAAGCTTGTTTGACCGTAAACCACTTTAACCAAACGGGGGGGGGGGGAGATGTATAGTATGTCTAAATGACGCTTGCCACACATTGCTGTGGGCCCTCAGGGGCAGAGCAGTTGCCTCCAGAAGTCTCCCGGTTCAACCCCGCCCCCGGGGGCACTTGCCTTCAAAGAAAAAGAGCTGGGCGTATAGACATGAATGACCCTGGGGAGAACTGAGCCTGACAGAAGAGCCAGGAGTGTCCTGCTCCTGCACAAGCCAGGGAGAAGGCTGCCTTTTGCTCGGCTCCGACTTGAGGCTTCCCCCCGGGACTTCCACTGATCAAGTCCAGCGCCTCCCGCTAGGTCCCTCTTGCCTTCGCACGGAAGACTTATTCGCTCGTCTGCCACCCGGAAATGGGTCTCTCTCGCCTGTAGGTGATGCTCTTTCATCTTCGCCCAGGCACGATCATGTGACTCGCGGGGCAAGATGGCGGCCTCTCTGCGGGCTGGAGCGCGCCTGCGGCGGGCTTCGGCTGACCCTGAGCTGAGGCGGCTGGATTCAGAGTTGCTGGCTGAAGTCGAAGCGGCGTCGGCGGCCGGTCCCGGCCTTCCCTTCGCTCTGGTCCGGAGGCTTCATCAAGCTCTGCGAGATACGGGTGAGTTTTGCCCGCGCGGTGGCCCTTAACCTTGAGGGGAACAGGCAACGAGACCCCTGCTCTCGCCGGATCTGGGAGAAAGCCTATTGAACGTAATGGGTCTTACTCTCAGGTAAGTGGGTATACCCCCTTGGAGGAAGCCCCAATGAATGGTGACGACTTTTCCTGTCGTTCTAGAATATATATCTCTGTATACAATTATGAATGAATGAATTAGAAACAAAGTATCATTAACTTATGCAAGCCATTGTCACGCAATTCGGTCATGGCAACTTCTTTTAAAGGTTTAACAGGAGGATTGGGCACAAATGAGTCAGTGTGGTGTACTGGTGTGTTGGGTTAAGATGGGAGTCCCAGGTTTGAATCCCTGTGCCGCTGTGAGAACATGCTGATTGACCTTGGGCCTGTCACACACATTTAGCTGAACCTACCTCACAGGGTTCTTGCAAGTATAAAATGAAGGAAAGGGAAATGATGTGAGCTATTTTGGGTCCACACTGAGGAAAAAGATGGGGAATAAATGAAGAAATTAAGTAAATAGTTACATTGGCTAAATGTATCTGCCATTTTCCTTGGTAGTGTGTATCCGAATGCCAGTTGCAAGGGAGGGATGCAACAACAAGAGGAAACTCTGGCATCTGTACTTCTGCTTTTGAGCCTTCTAAGAGGTCTGTCTTGCCACTGTTGCCTGGTTGCTGTGAGTGAACAAATTGAAACTAAACCCTGAAAAGCCAGAAGTAATGCTGGTTGGGAAGGCAGAGGTATTGAAAGACATTGTTCTCCACACTTTTGATGGAGTTCAACTGACACTTGATGACTCAGTTAAAAGCCATGGGGTTATATGGGATCCAGCTTTGTTATTGGAGAAGCAAGGTAATGCAGTTGCAAAAAAAAAAATGCTTTCTGCCAACAGCTTTGCCTGTATGATGGCCCCTTACCTTGATACAGCTGACCTGACCACCTGGATCCACACCATAGTAACATCGAGACTAGACTACTGTAATGCACTGTACATTGGTCTTCCCTCAAAATCTACTCAGAAACTCCATCTGGTACAGGAGCTAGACAGAGCGTGCATATTACTCCCATTCTGCAGACACTCTGTTGGCTGCCCATTTGTTACTGGACTCAGTTTAAAGTATTGGCTGTTGCGTACAAAGCCCTCCATGGTCTTGGTCCCTCTTATTTGTGGGACCGCCTCTCCCCCATACTCCGCCACAATAATTTCATTTATGTCAGCAGGGGCTTCTGTGGGTGCCAACCTGCAAATGGCAAAATCAGCCCCTGCCTGTACACATGCTTTCTTTGGTGTAGCTCCCTCCTTATGGAATAGCCTGCCTGAGGAGGTAAGGAAAGCTTCCACTCTTCTGGCTTTCCCCAAACCATGTAAAACTGAACCGTTCGAGAGGGCTTTTCTGTGCAGCTAATAGGGTTGCACCATGCAAAATGGTTGACAAACTTACTTGGATAAATGATTAGAGATTGTGGTCTGTACTGCTGTGTGTAGCTTCCTGACAGTAGGATCTTCTTACGTAATTTTTGTACTGCTTAAGGTGCCATATCAGTACTTTTGCTGTGCCTCAGTTCTTTCTGGTGGTTCCAGACTTCTAAAGTCCTAGTGGATTGATAATTGAAAGTCCTGTTCCATTGATTGTACTGACTCACTATGTGTAATCTGCCCTGAGTCTTTGTGAGAAAGGTGGAGTATAAATAACATAAATAAATAAATGCTGCACAAAACAGGATGCTTGACTAGATGGGAACCCCCATGGTCTATTCCTGCAGAGGTTCTCTTATATTCTTACTATTTCTAATTCTGCATCTCACCATACAGTTGCAAAATTAGCTGGCAGGCATGGCGGGTTTTATTTTTCATCACATAAATTATTTGTCCCAACATTGATAATATTGGTACCCCAAATTCTTATGTAAGCAGTACCCCCCTGCTGTTTTCCTGTTCTCACATTTCAGTCTCTGTTTTCTTTCCTCCCTGTGTTCACTGTGTCCTTGCTTGACCGCTAACATATTCCATCTCTGGCAATCAACAGACTCTGACTCTTGAGAGGCTTTTATTTTAATCTCATCCATTTTATTCCTAGGTTCTCAAGTGTATCTTCATGAACTTCTCGAAGGTAGTGAGATCTTTCTTCCTGAAGTGAAAAGACCTCCCAGGGTGTGTATTAACGGCTATTTTCTATGTACAAAGTGGCTGAAAATTGAGTGCTCTTTGGGGTGTAAAGGCCTTGCTCAAGGGAGTCATTTCCCCCTCTTGAATATATTAATTTCTACTTAAACATATCCCTTGAAAGGGATTTGAAGAGGTCAGTTAAAAAAAAAAAAGAATGGCGTAGCATTTTCACTGTTTGTCTTTCTGCCCTTTTCAGAACCCAGAGTTAGTGGCCCGTCTGGAGACACTCAAGGCTAAGCTAGCCAATGAAGAGTACAAGCGGATGACAAGAAATGTCAACAGCCAGGTTAGGAGAAAATGCAGGGGTGGTGTGAAAATGAGCTGGCCCCTTAATTTGCTTGGATGCATGTTATGTTCTTAAGCCAACAGTGATTATTAACATGGTGTGATTCTTCCTTTGAGGGAGTCACAGAAGATGGCTCATATGCAGAGAAGAACAGGTAGTCTGTCTTAACAATTCAACACATTGCCAGAGCCACTAGTTCAGGGGTGTCAAACATGCAGCCCAGGGGCCAGATCAGGCCCCCAGAGGGCTTCTGTCAGGCCCGCAAGGGACTGGCTGTCTCCTGCTTCTTCCTCCAGTTCTGCTGCTGCATCATAGCTTGCTTTCCCAGACTCTCTCAGTCGCTCAGGAGATTCTTCTGCTTCTGCTACCTGCACTGGGATGAGGCTCCTCCCCTTCCCCCTCCCAGATTGCTACAGCACAGACATTTTGATGCAATAATTCGGAGCAAGAAGTGTCAGTTATCAGAGACTGTTAAATAAACAAAATATTGCAAGAATGCTAATGTTTTGAGCATGTTTTTATTTTAAGTAAAAACAATCTTTGTGTTTGTGTCCTTTATTAAGTTTATATCTCCGCTCCCTGGCATTACATTTTATGACACACATGGCCCGGCCCGACAAAGTCCAATTTATGTCAAATCCGCCCCTCCATAACAAATGAGTTCAACACCCCTGCACTAGTTGGTATGCTATGTCCATTCTGCTGATGGGAAGTAATTGACAGGAACAAAGTGCTGAGAACACAGCAATTGCGTTGGAGTCTATAACGAACCTGCCATAAACTGCCAATCACAGCAGAATTCTGAAAAACAGTTACAGTAGTTGAGAACTGAGCAACTTTGTGGTGGAAAGGAAAGCCTGTTTCCTCTGCGTAGGGTAAAGCATGCATGCTAAAACGGGATAGCATGAGCTCAGTTCTTTTGCTGCTAGTAAGCAGGGCTGGTAGTAAAAGTTGCACCCTTTTTCATATATTCCCGTAAGTAAAAAAGGTAGGAGATCTTCTGTTAATCTTGGGACTGAAGCACAACAGAGGGCAGAACTGTACAACGCTACCATATTTACCTCCTTTTCCCTTCTAGGAACTGAACCGATATGGCACTCTGGCTGACCTCGGAAGACAAGGTACATTACTATCATGGGCATGGAGTTGTCAGGTAGCCTGAGCATAGCAACTAGGAGAGGGGCCCTAGTTCAGTGTGTAAGGACCAGCTTCAGTATGTGTGGGGCATCTCTAATTAAATGATCCCAGATAGCTGGTGTCCAGAAAAGCTCTTCTCTTACTGATACCCAGGAGAGCTGCTGCCAGAGGAGACAATGCAGAGCTAGGTAGATCAATAGTCTGTCTTGCTATAAGACAACATCATAAATAAGAAGGGTAATCATAAAGTCTGGATGAAGTAGAACAGCTGCCTGATCTTTGAGAGAGGCTCTCCTCTTTGAGGAAATGAAGTGCTCCAGAGTCCATACCTGCCCTGTTGACATTCACCAATCATGCAGTGGCAGCTAGATTTGTACTGGTCTCTGGAGCTGTTGGTCACATAGGCTGAGTGGATGGTTGGCACTCTACTGGGCATGGAGTCCTTCCTGACCTTTCCTCCTGCCCATAGAGGCCCAAGGACCATGCGGAGTTGCAATAGCATGGAGCACGTGTGCTTCACAGGTCTGCACATCAGTCGTGCAGAGTCTGCATGTCTGTCTCCCCCCTTGGGGGTTCCCACAAACTGAGCTGCCCTGTGGGGTGGGCATAGTATAACCATTCAGGCAACAGAGCAAAGTTGGAGTCCCGTGGCACCTTTAAGACGAGCAAGTTTTATTCTGGGTATAAGCTTTCATGTGCAAGCACACTTCTTCAGATAGATTGAAAAAGAAAGTTTCATTGAGGCAACACTGACCATTCCTTGTATGGAGTTGAATTGGAAGTGCTTGTTTGGTCTGTTGGGACTACTTTATGGGACTGTGATCCTCCAGGGCAACAGGCATCCTAGGCATTTGGTCAACAGTAGCACAGGTTAGGTGGAATGGCTGGTAGCCAGCCTGGACTGTAGCTGTGTCCCCCACTTGGAATCCCCAGTTGTTGCGCCCTGTGAACTCCTACAAGTTCTGATTGCTGTTATCTCAAAAATATATATTTTAAAGCTATGAAAAAGTTTAGAAGGGCAACCTTTAGCAACTTTCATATGTGGAAAAGCTAAGGACTTTAGGGAAGTACTCTATTTGGGAGGAAAAGGAGAATAAGGGAGGACATAATAGAAGTTTATAAAACTGTGCCTGATGTGGAGAAAGGGGAGATAACTTTTTCTCCCTTTCCCATCATACTAAAATTTGGGGGCACCCAATGAAGTGTTTGAGAAATGATTTCAGTGAGACAAAAGGGAATGCTTCTTTGAAGGTAAAGGTTCCTTTGCTCGAAAGCCAATCGAATCCGACTCTAGGGTTGCGGTGCTCATCTCCGTTTCAAAGCCGAAGAGCCAGCGCTGTCCGAAGACGTTTCTGTGGTCATGTGGCCGGCATGACTAAACACCAAGGCTCACGGAACGCTGTGACCTTCCCACCGAAGTGGTACCTATTTATTTGCTTTCGAAATGCTAGGTTCGCAGGAGCTGGAACTAGAGACAGGAGCTCACTCCGTAATGCGGCACACTCGGGTCTCGAACTGCTGAACTACCGACCTTCCACAGTCTGCAGTTCAGCATCTTAACGACTTGAGCCACCGCAGCTTCTTTACTCAGCGATTAATTAAAATATGCAGTTTACTGCCAGTGGATGTAGTGGTGGCTATGAGCATAGATGGCTTTAAAAGGAGGTTCTAAGATTCATAGTCCATCAGTGACTTCTAGCCGTGATATACAAAAGCACCAAACCTTTAAAGCCCAATGATAGGAGACAACATATAGGGAAGGCCTCAGCCTCTCTGCCTGGTTTGCTGGCCCACCCAGCCAACTGGTTGGCCAATGTGTGAAAAAGGATGCTGGACTAGATGGGCTGCTGGTCTGATCCAGCAGGGCTCTTCTTATGAAAGCAGGCAGTCCTTCAGAAATCTCGGTCCCCAACACACATAAAAGCTTGTACTTTGGATTAGGGTGAATGAGCTAGGTCACAGAGCATTGGCCAAACAAACAGCACGTCTGACAATTTGTTTTAGTTTTCAGATTTGCAAAACGTGTACAAGCTCAACTTTCTCAGCTCCATCCTTGGAAAAAAAGATAACTTTGACTAGATGGACGGATGCCCAGAAAAAAATCCCTGAAACAAGTTGATCTGATAGTTCACAATTTCGATGCATATATTTCTATGGGAAATTTCTTTCAAGAAGAAAGACGCACTCACATACCATCAAAAGAAATGAATTGGAAGTTTTGGTATGGTCATGTGGATTGGACGTAATTGGGCCTATTTAAGATAGCCATACCAAAAGACCCCTGAATCTCTGAGATGTGGGTTGTGTGAGTGTCTAATCTTTCTAAAAGTACTTTGGTGTGAATCTCAGAAATTGTATCTGTAATTTTTAAATAGGATAATGAATCAGAAATCGCATGTATGTATTTCTGTTTTGATTTCATTTACATAGGCAAGTATATTTTGTGTCACAGTGATTCTTTCATATGCACTCATTTCAAGAATAATTAGATTGATTTTAAATAAAAATCTTAAGATAAACCTGAGTGATCTTTGGCTGGGATACAAGTTTTTCACTTGACACCTGGAAATAAACTTCTGACCTTTTCAGACAGAGGGCTATAATAATAGAGATTGGGCATCAAAGAGAGTAGCCATCTCAGTATGGCCCAGTGATTTAGTGGTTAAGGCATCACTTTGGAACAGGCAAAGAAACCCTTCATTTCCATGTGTTTTAAAAGGCATGCTTCCCTTAGTTGGGGGGGAGGGGGACACAGTTCACCTGTTGCAGGCTAGTTGCAGTGCCAGCAAAAGTATCTTGATAGTTGTTCACAGCTTTCGGAAGATAAAAGTGTTACTCTTTGAGGATTTGCAGGGGTGATGTTGGGCTGGTAGGCTCCCATCCTGTGTCTCCCTTCCCCAGTTAGGTCCACTAAAGCTGTGGTCGTCACCATATTCAACTTCCTTGTGACTGTGGGAGCAACATTTGCCTGCACCTATCTGGGCAGCCAGTATATCTTTACAGAAATGGCAGCGGTGAGTGATGATGCGGGGGGGGGGGGGGTGATGGGGGGGGGGGGGGGGGGGGTGATGCACGAGCACCTTTTTATTGCCAGTAATTTCTACCCACAAAGCTCAGAAATCCTGTAATGTCCCCGCTGAGTCTCATTTCTATAAATAAAAGAGAAACTGACATAGATGCTGAGCGATGGGGCATGTGCTTCTTTGACAGCTTGCAAAAGCCAGGCATACTCTCTGTGCCGGGCCAGAGCTGTGACTGTGGCTCGCCCAGTGGAAATGCACAAGGCAGAACTGACTCGTCTTCCCTCTTT